CGCATCATCATCGTCGTCGTCATCAAATCATCATCGGTATCATCATAATCAACGTTTTTGGGTTTAGATCGCGTTATTTATAAATGTGTCGTAACCCTCCACCACCCGACACGGCCAATCAGTAAAAAAGTGTCACGTTGACAAAAGACAAATAGTTCACTGCTTTAGCCCACCGGTGTGTTGAAGCGTGAAACCACAACAATTTACAATTTGAGTACGACGTTTCGCTGGTAATTGCATCCAGCATCATCGGGCAATTCGCCAGAATGGTGAGGCTCTGCTGTGTCTCCCGTTCTTATATAGAAAGCCTACGTGTTAAACTGGTATCATCATTATCAAATCATCATCATTATCATCAGTATTGGGATGTTGCACTGCTTGCTGCGAGAGTCAAAAATGCAAACTTGACTCGTGACGTGATGCGGATAACACCATTAGCATTTACCTGGGGGGGGAAAAAACAAAACACTTTGGTGGCCATAAAACGTCGACTGACTCACGTCGATGAGGAGATAGAGCTTTTCTTTGAGCAGGTCCAGTTTGTCCTCCATCGAGAGGGAGGTGTCGATCAGGACGTACACACGGTCCTCCACGATCGAGCCAAACAGAACTCGGCTGCCTCTCTGCAGCCACTCCAGCCTGGGCGACACACAGGCAGCGACGTGACGACACACAGGCAGCGACGTGACGACACACAGGCAGCGACGTGACCACCACGGGACCCTTCCAGGGCCAGGCAACACATGCACCAACTCACCTGCGCCCACACAAAGCGACCCCTAAACAACCCAACACCTACACACACAAACACAATCCAACCCATGCATACACAACCCATCGTCCGTACAATCCGTCAGCTAATCGGCATGGATCTCTTCCTCTATCTACTATCACTGCTTTGTTCATCATAAGTAATATATTTTTTATATATATCTTTAACTAATACACAAGCCAACCAACACCTTACAAAAGCCAACACCTTATACAACACAAGGCAGTCAACAATCTACATGATAAAACAAAGACAAAGATCGCCTGTACAGCCTTAACAGACTGTTGGGGAAAGTTCTGTAAGCGAGTAGCACCTATGAATGCCGGCACGGCACAAGAGGGGGTGGGTGGCCAGCACCACGCCCGGCCGCCTTTGTCTCTCTAGTGGCGATGTTTACACACTGCACCAGGTACTCACTTGAGGCTGAGTCGACCTAGGGGAGGCCCAGGGACCGGTTCAGATAATCGTCACAGGTGTTGGCCGTGAGCGGGAATCGAACTTGGCTCGCCGGATATGTAGTGCAGCGCGCTAACGTGCTACACTACCACTCCGCACACACGCACACAAAACAAAGATCCCCCATATAGCCTTAACAGATTGTAGGGGCAAGTGCTGTTAGCGAGCAGCACCTATGAAGGCTGGAACGGCACACGAGGGGGTGGGTGGCCAGCACCACGCCCGACCGCCTTTGTCTCACTAGTGGCGATGTTTAAACACCGCACCAGGTACTCATTTGAGGCTGAGTCGACACACGCACACACACAGATTGTCGGTGCCGTGGTGGACTCCACCTGCTCTGGATGAGGCGCAGGGCGGCGGTGAGGCGCACGGCGTAGTCTCGGTAGACGCGCTCGGGCACGTAGACGTGCACCAGGGCCCCGTCGGCCCACAGCGTGTGCACGAAGCACGAGCAGTAGCGCGCGTTCACGAGCACGCGCCGCCGCCGTCCCTGCGCGCACGCACAAGCACAATATTCATTTACACTGCAGGAGGAATAACGATGAGCGGTAAAGCTCTTTTTCACAGGTGTCCAGTGGAGGCATGAGGTCAGAACATTACAACAAACAATACAACAAATACAATAAGAGTGCGAGGTGTAGGAAAAGTAAACAAATCAGCATGGGCTTTCACTCGTAATCTGAACTAAACTATAAACTATTTTTATATTTCAGAAGCAACCTGGCCACAAAAGAAGTGGCTAATCACGTGAAAATATTTATAGCAGCCAAATTCTGTTAAACGCGTGATTTCGATTCTAAATGTGGAGGGAAAAATCCACGCGACCACAAGGAGAACACGCAAACTCCAACTATGCAGCCGTCAGGGTCAGGCTCAAACCCACGACCTCCTGCATACCAGGCTAGGTAGTTAACATCGCCACCGTGGTGGTGCCACGGTGGCGATTTTGCCCGAATCGCCGAGGGGGCAAACCGCTTGGCAACAGGGGAGCGTTCCCCCCTCCCCCGGACACTCACGCAGTCGCCGTGTGCCGAGTCCACGACGCCGTCGGCGTGGCGGAACGCGCAGCGTCCCAGTGCCGTGTGCAGCGCGAGGCCGCGCGCCTCCAGCCCGTAGCGAGCGAGCCACGCGCGCGAGCTCTGCTCGGCCTCGTCGCTCCGCACGCTCGCGCAGTCCTCGCTCCATGAATCGCCATCATCCGCGGCGGCGGCGGTGGCATAGGTGGTGACGGCAGAGGTGGTGGTGGTGGCGGCGGCGGCAGCGTCGCACCGATTGTAGGGGACGCACGGCCACGACTTCTGGCACGCGCTCCGGCTTGGACCTGCGGAACGAGAAGCCCGCAGGCGGCAGTTGCCGCGTCGTTCGCTCTTCTTCCTCCAACCTTCAGTGCTGTTGACTCCCGGGCCCCCGTTTAAGTCCAGGTGAAGGGCTTTCCTTTTCCCCCCTCTGTTTATCACTGCACACGGCGCTTGGTTGCTGCGCCTTCGTCCACGCGGATGGCGCGGTGGACGTGGCGCGCGGCGACTGCGGCATGCGGTTTGTCCCCGTGTGATTCTGGCAAAATCGGCACCGTGGGAGCTCCGCCGTGCTCCCCCGAGATGTTAACTACCACGCCTGGTATGCGGGAGGTCGTGAATTCGATCCCATCCCTGACGCCTGCTGCTGTATATTTAGAGTTTGTGTGTCTTTCTCTCTGTGCTCGTGTAGATTTTTCTCCCGGTCCTCCGGTTTTTCCCTCTGTATTTAAAAACATGTGTTTAGAGTATTTGGCTGCTAAAAATTTCCACGCGATAAGCAACTTCGTTGGGCTATCATTTGTGATAGCCAGGTCACTTCTGAAAAAGAGCTGCATAGCTCAGTGTGCCTTGCCTGGTAAAATAAAAATAGTTTAAAGTAAAGTTTTGATAATGGACAAAGGCCTGTGCTGCATTGTCACGATGCCTTACGTTGTGGGGAAGCCGCGGAGGTAGTGGATGGACCAGAGGTGGCGGAGGGAGCGGAGATCTCCCGTAGGATGAGGCGGATCTCCCCGAGGATTTGCGATGCCTCCTCCTTCTCCTTCCAAACCTCCCACACATCCTGCTGAACGCCCACTGCGAGGCGAGGCGGGGGGGGGGGGGTCGCAAGACACCAGCGTTATCTTAGTTCCATGCGACGGTCAACTTGCAGCAACCCGCGGTTGTTCAGTACACCAGTTGGAAAGTTTTAATTTATTTTCTTTAACTAAGAAGGTGAACGTGCAGCCCCCACTAGAGCGAGCAGTCGAGAGCCCCTCCAGGGGGTATTGGGACTACTCTTCCACACGAGCCTGACATCTTGGAAGAGATGGGGGTGCACAGCGTTGGTGTACGGTGCTTTTTCTGCAATATTTTGCTGTCTTTTCTTGGATTTTCTGTTTGCACATAGTCACATAGTCACTTTAAGATGTTTTCTTGTTCATGTTTTTTTTGTTGTTGCGGTTGCACCCGATTCAAGAGCTGAATGGTTCACAGGGCTACACCAAATAAATGAAACTGAAACCTACACGTCCGTCCACCCAGCACAACCTGTCGATCGACCGTTGTTGCAACTGCCATGCCAGGGAGACCAAACCGGAGACCTCTGCATTGCAGGTCCAGTACGTGAACCATTACAACATTTGGAAAAATCCCGTCCACATACACACACACACACATATATATATAAAATATGACCAAATGTGTAATGATCTCCCTAAACTAAAATTAGATTTTTGTTTCCTCTCCCCCACAATGGGCACTTAATTGGTTGTGACAGTCTGCTACCATTTTCAAATTTCGATCAGCTTCCAGTTTGCGTTATTTTTCTCATACTGGTAGGAACCTCCTGGTTACACCAGCCCACAAGGGATTATTGTGTCCGTCCGTCGTGCAGGGAGGGGCTGAGTGGGGAGGGGAGGGTGGGGAGGGGCTGGGTGGGGAGGGTAAAAATACGCGAGCGCTAAGGACTGTCCCGTCGCTCGAGTCACCCTTACCGCACTGCTGGGAAGAACGCGGCTGGGAGGCTGAAACGGCGGTGTCGCGGGCGAGGGACACGGACTGGGCGCAAGACGTCAGCACGCACGTGTGGAACCTGCGGCAACGGACGGCATCAACGTTGTACCGACGGAGATGCTAAACGGTGCCTCCATCCCACTACGACGTGGGGTAAAACTCCAAAACAAACCCGAAGTGGAATCAGATTAAGAATGTTTATTTAACTGGAGGAAATCCGATGAGCGATAAAGTTATTTTTCACAGATGTCCAGCAGGAGCGGGTCAGAACGTTACAACAACAATACAGAAACACGATAGAAGTGCAAAATATAGAAAATGGTAAGAAAATCACTTTAAAAAATACAACAACAAAAATTATGAAACAATCAAAATAGGTTTGACCCTTTCTGGCAATAAAACAGGTGTTAAGATGTTCAAACACCAAATCGATAACTTTTGCAAGGCATCAAGTCTGCATTAACCACACACAGTACTTGTGGCAAAACCATGCAAACAAAACATGCTCCGATAATGAAATTGATTGGCCTACACCAGAGCCAGCAGCCTTCTTCACGGCCTAGTCTCACCAGTGTTAGACCAGAATCATTTTGAAACTGGCAACAAAGGTCCCATAAATATTTGTATCTGACCAGGTGAAGCCAACCTTCCCACGAGCCTCTCACCTGCCCCCCGTGAGGTCCGCGATCTCCCGCAAGAAGTCGCGCGAGGCCGACGGGGCGGCAGCGTCAACGCACGCGACGTGCACGGGACGCCCGGCCGTGTGCACCGCCTTCCTCAGCAGCTCACGGAACACGCCCTCCACGGGCCCGGCCACCACCAGGCACACCGCCTCCACCTGGCGGGCCGGGGGGGGGGGGGGGCGGCACGGTGGCCAGATGTTAACTAACTCACCTGGCATACAGGAGGTCACGGATTCGATCCTGGCCGTGACGCCCATTGCATATTTGGAGTTTGCGTGTCGCGTGGATTTTTCTCCCCACGTTTGGAAGCATGCGATTAGAGTATTTGGCTGCTATAAATTTCCACGTGGTAAGCCGCTTCGTTGAGCTATCATTTGTGATAGCGAGGTCGCGTCTGAAAAAGAGCTACGTAGCTCGGTGGGCCTTACCTGGTAAAATAAAAACAGTTTAGTGTTATATTCTTGGTTCTTTCGGTAAAGTCACGTAGAAGGGAAATACGTGACTTTACCGAAAGAACCAAGAATATGAATCCCTGCAGTCACGAAAGCTTTAAATCAAACAGTTTAGTGTTTGTTTAGTCTGGTCATATTTTCCCAAATTATTATCTCATAGGGCAGAAACACTTTCGAAGCATTCAGGGGGTTTAAAAAAACAACGCTTATTCAACAGCACTTGCCACTATAGGCTAAATGGTTAGATGGGGGATTTTAGTCTTTGTATGTATGTACGTTCAACTTCTTTCGCACCGTACGTAGCCAACCGTGCTAATCGGAGGTGCGGGGTGGGGGGGGGGAAGGGCAACAAACTAGACGCAAAAAGCAGTTCAGTTTGTTGTCCCTTCCCCCGTTACTCCGACATTACGCCCGCGTGCGTCGCCTCAGCCGACCGACCGCACGCCGCGAACACCGGCGAGAGCCTGGTGGTGCTCGGCTCTCACCGTGGGGTCCCCCAGCGCGTGCGTCAGCGCCTCCGCGCAGGCCGTGCCGCCGCAGGGCGCAGCCTGCGGCTCCAGCGAGCGGAGCCACGACGAGGCGGAGAGCAGCGACCGCGGCGTCACCGGCACGGCACGCTCCTGCCACGCCTCCAGAGTGTCACCCGCGCTGTGTCACACGCACACATGCACAAAGATCCCCCGCCGTGGAGCCTTACACAGACTTTTGGGGAAAGTGCTGTTGGCGAGTAGCACCTATGAAGGCCGGCACGGCACACGAGGGGGTGGGAGGCCAGCACCACGCCTGGCCGCTTTTGTCTCCCCGGTGGCGATGTTTACACACTGCACCAGGTACTCATTTGAGGCTGAGTCGATCTAGGGAAGCCCCAGGACCGGTTCAAATATTCGCCACTGTTAGCTGTCGTGAGCGGGAACTGAACTTGGGTCGCCGGGTTTGTAGCGCACAGCGCTGACCATTGTACCACCACTCCTCTTTGTCTCTGTGTCACACACACGCGCACGCACAGCCAGGGAAACACAACTGGCCAGATCAAAGGGATGTAGTGATGCATCGCTTAATATTGATTCGTATCACTACTTAGGTTCACGATATAGCCATCGAATCACGAAAGAGTGGATCCGTAAAAATGGTGTAAAGCCTATAACCAAATCTTCCTGAATGCGCCCAATCTTGTCGGATCTCAGAAGCTAAGCAAGTTTTGAGCCCGGATTGTGTTTGGATGATAAATCATGGTCAACAGTACAAGCCACCTTAACTAATCCGCACTGACCAGAGCGGGGAAATATAGTCCAATATATCCCACGACTGGAGAGGCTCCCATCCAGCAGTGGCTTGACACAGGGCCGTACCCGTACATATCAAGACGATTAATGTCATCCACGAAAAGCACGGATCATTACAGCGCTGCCGCCCCTTTTCACTTCACGATGCGACGACGCGTCCATCCGTACCGGATCACGTTAAACCGCTCCATCTGCGCCAGCTGTTCTTGAACCAGCAGAACGAGCGCCTGGCGCAGGGCCCGGAATCGTCCCTCGTGTGCGCCCCCCTCAGCATCTCCGGTGCCACCAACGTCGATACCGCCGCCGCCGTCATACAGCACCAGCGCGATGCTACGCTCGTGAAAGACGCCGAATGCCCGGCGCGAGCCTGAGCCGAGCCACAGCAGACGCTCGCGATAGAGCTGCTCGCAGCGCCACACCGCCTCGGCCAGGCTCTCCAGCTCCGCGCGACTTGCCGTCAGCTGGTGTTTGCAAGACAAAGCACACGCGGTCGGGCCCCGTCAGCGGCCCCGCTGTGCAATCGATCATTAATTCGATCAATCACCACGCGAGGGTCGTCCAGCGAGACTGGCAGTCTCCCCGATAGCTATCCGGTGCGCTTTCGGGTTGTGACGCGTGTTGTCCGGCATGACGGCTGACGTTTCGCTCCCGGAGAAGCTCCCCGCACGCGCAGCGAAAACATTGGACATCATGCCGAGCAACACGCGGTACAACCCGAAACCACATCGGTGAGCTCCATAGCAGAACCGCACACAACCCTCTGCAGGAGCGTGTCTCTTTTTTGGTACAAATGAGAGCAAAGGGAGAAATAAAAAACCAACACGGTACAAAACACTTGGAGCGTGTCTGGTTTGTGACGCATCTCGGATGGAGGATTGTGTCTCAACATGGCTCCACCATGCAACAACCAGATTATGTAGGATTCTGGTGGGGGGCTGTCGTGGCAGGCATTACACTAAATGCTATTTTCGGTTGCAATGCAGCCTCACAATGGCCAGCGCTTTGAAACGCAACCTTCCAAGCTTTCAAATACCTCTTGTTTTATGTGGTCGGCGCCACGACAGATTGCCTCGGGCTAAGCTGCTTCCGGGCACCGTACGATATGGTCGGCAGTAACGGCGAACAGGGTTGCATAATTCTAGATTTGAAGCTTTTGTGACTGCAAGGATTCATATTCTGAGGTTTTTTCGGTAAAGTCACGTAGGTAAAAAATTAAAATTAATAAAAGTAAAATAAAAATAAAATAAAGTGATACAGCTGTCGTGCTGTGACGGTTCCACCTGAAGACGGAAGCTTGTGTTGCCTCCGAAACGTCGTGATTTTTATTTTTATTTTACTTTTATTAATTTAAATGTTTTACCTACGTGACTTTACCGAAAAAACCTAAGAATAGGGTTGCATAATTCAATCAAATTGTCACGAGTTTGGATCATGACTTGATTGACATTTTTCCCTTATAGAATCTATAGACGTGTGAATCTAGAACCTGTACCAGCTACAATGGTGCGATTTAGATAATCTGTAGCAGTATGACTACAAACTATAGTGTTGTGAAACTACAGCACCTATAGTTTTATTAAAAATGTCGAATCTTACGTGGTGTGAATCTTTGGAATCTACGGTGGTAAGAATATATATAATCTATCATGTTGAGAATCTGTAGAATTGATAGTGGTGTGACCTTTTACCCGATAGAGAGTCCCATCTCGCCGGCAGTACTCCAGAAAGCGACCCTCGCCATACCGGGAGCTCACCAACCGGCCCAGGGACGGCTCAAAGTCTGCACACGCACACGGAACACGTGTCATGGCAATTTCAGCGTCAATGTCCTTTTTCGCCGTCCTTCTGCCGCACCTTCGATTAGCGCGATGTTAGCTACGTATACGGTGCGAAAGAAGTTCAACATATATACACATACATGATACGCATCGCTTAAGCGTAACTTTTTTGAGTAACACGTTTAAAAAAAAATACTGCAATTTTATGCGTTACAATTAGAATCACCGGACATTTCCAGCTCTGCCTGATCGCAACGGACAGCATGGTCAAATAACCCCCCCAAGAACCACAACTGAAGCCAGACTATCAGACGCTTCCAAAGTAACCGGTTAGCTTATCGGATATGGTGTGTAACGTTTGAAGTTTCCCCGTTTCACGTCGTGAGAGCTTCCTCCACTGTGGAGCAAGAGGCAGACAGCTCCACTGTAAGACAGCGAGCGGTGGCATAAACATCAACATATTTTCAGAGGTAAAAATGTCTTAGCGACCGCACGGCGCCAATGAGACTATAATGGAATTTTGCTCTGAAGTCTAAACCCACCCGATGTCGATTCTGCTGCGTCGTGTACAACAAAAGTTTATTCCACTGCTCGCCGTCTCTCCCAGAGGAGCTGCAACTCTCCGGCTCCACGGTGGAGGCGGCTCCCACAAACGTGAAACAGGGACACTTCTCACGTCACGCTCTGCGTCCCGTAGGCTCACACAGGCACTTTGGAAGTGTCTGACAGCTTGACCTCGTTGACACCAAACGGGGAGGCATTCATCTGGCAGTGGATTAACGCAGGAATGTAAATGATTATTCCACACTGCCAGACTGGAGGGATCGGCACACCTGAGCCATCGGCTAAACTAAACTAAAAAAATATATTTTACCAGGTAAGGCCCAATGATCTAAACAGCTCTTTTTCAGAAACGACCCAGCCACAAATGATCGATCAACGAAGTGGCTTATCATGTGGAAATGGATAGAAATCAAATACTCTAAAGGCATAAAATCTTGACTTAAAGCATTCGTGACTGCAGGAATTCATATTCTTTGGGTCTTCGGTAAAGCCACGTAGATAGGTAAAAAAAGTAAACTCGAAACGTCGTAGTTTTTTCATTTATTTTTTTCTTTTAACCTAAGTGACTTTACCGAAAGACCCAAAGAATACTCTAAAGGTATATTTTTTACATGCAGGGAAAAATCAAAGGACATGGAGAAAAATCCACGCAGCCACGAGGCGAGAGACACGCAAACTGCAAATATACAACAGGTGTCAGGGTCGGGTTCGAACACACGATCTCCTGTATACAAGGCGAGGTAGTTAACATCTCTCCGCCGTGGCTACCCAATGCTGCGAGAAGCAGGACTCACCCTCGCGCTGTCTGAATCCGATCCTGGCCAGCACGTGCCGGAGTGACAGCCTCTGCCTCTTGAGGCCGTGCTGAGCGACCCAGACCGACGAGGGTAGCTGCAGCGTGGCCTCGGTGCTCCACGCGGGGGTCACCCCCTCCCTGCTGCCGGGCCTCGACTCGCGCGTCCCCGTGGGGTCCTTCATCTCGCCCTCTTGACGCACGAAGGCCCTTGAACGCGGCCGCAGACTCCACTCGTCCGAACTTGACCCCATCTTCAACGTCACTTTATTTTCTTTGAAACGTAGAACCTGCTAAGTCTTAACAACACAAATAACACAGGAATCCGCATTAAAAGAAATGTTAGTAAATGCCATCATTTTAAATGGGCGCCACGGTGGTGTGATGTTAGGGGCCATCCATTTAGTACGTACGCAAAAAATCTGTCAAAACTTGACCACTCCCCACCTCCCTGTACGCATGCGGACTTTTTACACCCCCCCCCTACCTGCGTGTGTACGCCTGACGCTTTACAGCTCATCCGATTCCTCCAGCAGTCTAAATAAATATTCAGAAATATTCCGATTCAATGACTGTACATATTGTCTTTAATTCACGGTTGCCGAGCACAAGGTCTGAAACGCCAAGGGGTTAAGAGGCCGTCCATAAATGACGTCACGCACCTGGAGGGGGGGGTCAGACATTTGTGACGATGTTTGACGAGGGGGGGGTTTGAGAAATGTGACGTCACATCAAAATGCGCAACTTTAAATAAATATAGACAACACGTTCTACTTAATTAAATAGACTTTTTAATAAATGTTTTCTCCTACAACATCAGTGCAGCGCCACATTAAATACGCACTACAATGACAATAGTTTAAAGCGATTTGAAGCATGTTTTTTTTTGGGGGGGGGGCAGAGCTTTGTGACATCATAGGGGGGGGGTCTGACTTTTTGTGACGCCGTGTGACGAGGGGGGGGGATAAAAAAAATCGTCCAAAATCGCGTGACGTCATTTATGGACGGCCCCTTATCCCGAATCCCGGATAACCACACGGCGCTTCCCACTCGGCTAAAGACCAACAGATGCAGCCCGAATCTTTTAAACTCCCCCCCCCCCCCCACAATTCCCACACGTGCCCCCTACTACACACAAATCATCGCCGTCTCTTTAAACCGTCTCACTCCAGTCTACAAATCCCTTTTGACGATCTTGCTCCAACTTCTCTCGCCCCTCATTTATTTTTTACGATCAGAGGAAACAAGAAGATGCTCGGTGTAGCCGACACTTTGCTTCGTTCATCATTTCGGTTTTTTTTGTTCAATGCTTTGCTTTATGTGCCCCCCCACCCCCCTTTTCAAACGAAAGATTTCACAAAATATTTCACGCTCTTCTCTCCTCCTTATTACCTCCCCTCTCTCTCTACCCCCCCTCTCTCTCTACCCCCTCTCCTCTCCCTAAGCCATGTCTATGTTCCCCCTGTTTTCTATGGATTTTTTGTTTACTACAACAAGTGCTGCATCTGCACCCAGCCCTTCTCGCAGTCCTATGGCCTCCGACGGTAGCTCGTATCTGCAGTCTCGCGTCTCTCGCTCCTCATGTCCCTGGCCCGTCCTGTGCGCTCCCAATCTCTCCCCGTCTCTCTGCATCTCGATTCGTCACGCTCCTACTCCCTTCTCGCTCCCCTCCACTTGGAATCAACAGCCCCCTGCGGGCACACAGGGCAACCATCTTCACTCCAACCTGCAGCTTGCCTTCCTCCCTTAGAACAACCATCATCTCTGTTCCCTGCCCATCCTATCATGCAAGTTACTGCTACCTTGCTCCCAGATACGACCAGGCTTAACCCCAACCCCTATCACTACCCCTATCACAACCCCTATCACTACCCCAACCCCTATCACTACCCCAACCCCTATCACCACCACAACCCCTATCACTACCCCAACCCTTATCACTACCCCAACCCCTATCACTACCCCAACCCCTATCACTACCCCAACCCCTATCACTACCTCAACCCCTATCACTACCCCTATCAATACCCATATCAATACCCCTATCACTACCCAAACCCATATCACTAACCCAACCACTATCACTATCACGTCCCCTATCACTCCCCTTCCTTAACCTCTCCCGCCTGTTCTCCTGTTACCATAACCACCACATTCTAATAACCCCACTCTTAATCTCAACCACTATCGCCTCATGTACAATTTTACAATTGCTGTAAACCGCCCTGGAATAAGGCGCTGCTATATAGAAATCTACGTAAGCTAAAGCGATGGCACAGTTTCATATTCCGAGCAGCATGAACACTTCGTTAAACGATGCCACGATTCCGAGAGAGAGATCTTCCGTCGCAGAGAGAGAGAAGATGACGCCACCGCCCAGCAGCGCTGTGACAATAGCTGCTGATTGTAACGACGATGATGATGATTATAACAATGATTACAAGACATTAATCTACAATGGCAAGTCGACAAAACGTTAACAACTCGGCAGCTTGAAGGCAAACCCTCCCAGGGGACACTCACCTCCCTCCCCGCCTCCTCGCAACTTTCTCTAAAGTCGCTCCGAGCCAAGAAACATTCACTCACAACTTCATAGCGACCGCACTGTACGTACAGTCTTCGCCTCGGACACGTCGCCGTGGCAACGGACGCGCCTGCCGGTGTCACGTGACTGGGGCGTGAGGGTGACACGTGACGTGACCGGGGGGGGGCAACGTGAGGGTGACACGTGACCGGGGGGGGGGGGGCAACGTGGGGGTGACACGTGACCGGGGGGGGGGCAACGTGAGGGTGACACGTGACCGGGGGGGGGGGCAACGTGGGGGTGACACGTGACGTGGGGGGGGGGGTGACACGTGACGTGGGGAGGGGGGTAGTTTCCGACACGTGGTCAGGATCAGAACGAGAATACTGAGACTGGAGGTTTGGAATCCGATGAGCTGTGAAGCTCTTTGTGTCACAGATGTCCAGTTCGGGGCACGGGGTCAGAACGTCACAACAGCAACAAACACAATGACACGGCAGGAGTGCAAAGTATAGGAAAGGTAAACAAACCACTAACAGCAATACAACTAAACTGTTTGTATTTTACCAGGTAAGGGGCCGTCCATAAATGACGTCACGCGATTTTGGACGATTTTTGACCCCCCTCGTCACACGGCGTCACAAAAAGTCAGACCCCCCCTCAAATATGATGTCACAAAGCTCTGCCCCCCCCCAAAAAAATATATTAAACATGCTTCAAATCGCTTTAAACTATTGTCATTGTAGTGCGTATTTAATGTGGCGCTGCACTCTGATGTTGTAGGAGAAAACATGTATTTAAAAGTCTATTTAATTAAGTAGAACGTGTTGTCTATATTTATTTAAAGTTGCGCACTTTTGATGTGACGTCACATTTCTCACCCCCCCCTCGTCACACATCGTCACAAATGTCTGACCCCCCGCCCCCCCAGGTGCGTGACGTCATTTATGGCCAGCCCCAAAGACAAAGATCCCCGATTAGCCTTCACACACTTTCGGGGCAAGTGCTGTTAGCGAGCACAACGACAACAACCACAGCTGCCATTCGCCACTAAGTGCCAGGCTAGGTGCACGTTGAGGCAGTCACGTGAAGTGTCGAACGCCCGCTGGCAGGAGGTCACGGGACAGACCCAGCAGGTGCCACGGGTTCACTGACTGAGATGAGTGGCCGATGCACCACCCGTGCCCCAGACTGTGCCAACTCGCTGCGTTTTATCCGCCCGGCGCTCTGCTCGTTGTTGTGAGCGTCGCTCCTCTTGCCCTCCGTTGTTGCTGGAGGGCGACTGCCTCCAGCTGCCCAGTAGCAGCAGAAGTGTCCTTCACGAGCCTCCGCCAATTGTATAACACACACACACACAGAGGGTGGCCCAGAATTCAGGACACGCAGGATAATTCCGTTGATTTGAACACTGCCATTAGCACGAGATGACATCTAAACAACCAAAGACATTTTACGAAAGGCAGCTGTAATCTTGAAAAGAAAAGTCCTATATTCATTTAAAAAAAAATTAATGCAGCATGCATTCGTGTTAACAATGGAAGTTAGCGTGATTGTATGGGTGTTGAACTTCTTTCACACCGGACGTAACCAAGCGTGCTAATCTCAGGTGTGAACATTTGTTAAAATAAATATAATACCCCGAAATGTCCCGACTTTTAGGCACATCAAATACAAAGATCCCCCGTACAGCCTTAACAGACTGTTGGGGCAAGTGCACGGCACACAAGGGGGTGGGTGGCCAACACCACGCCCGGCCGCCTTTGTCTCCCCAGTGACGATGTTTACACACCGCACCGGGTACTCATTTGAAGCTGAGTCGACCTAGGGGAGGCCCAGGACCGGTTCAGATCATCGTCACCGGTGTTGGCAGTGAGCGACGAATCGAACTCGTGTCGCCAGGTTCGTAGTGTGTGGGTGAGTGTGTGGCACAAGCACCCACTAAAAACTCTGTGATACCTTCGATTCCTGAATCGACCAAGCTTGCACCATTATTAAGGCCTCGACACAGTAACGTGGTTTCTCTGTGTGCCTATGTACGTCTCTCTCTCTCTATATATGTATCTCTGTGATATCTGTCTCTACTTATATGTCTGTCTATGTCTCTGGTTCTGTGTTTTATCTCTCTCTCAAATGTAGCATTCTCAGGAAGAACGTAATCAACCAGGTAGGGTGTTGACTGTTATGTTATCCGAATTTCTGTTGTATTACATTACATTTCTAAGTATACTAGATTTGTGTTTCTATTTCATTTATACCTGATGATGATTGCTCGTGTTGCAATCGAAACGTCGTATGCTAGTATTTAATTTATTACTTTCTCTTTTTAAATCATTTATATTAAGTTCACTTGCTTGCGCGCTTACGTCCGTGCAAATCTTTCGGTCGTTTTTTAACCCACTTCCCGTGATCCAATCGAGCTGACATTTTGCACACACACTCGTTGTGCGTGACAATTTATATTCGTGAAAAATGTTTTCCATAAATGTACACTTTTTAGGAATTTTTTTTTATATTTAATTACCAATTGCTTAATGGTGGCAGGCAATCATCTGACCCATAGGTGGCAGCCATCTCAAGCCAGAGGACGAGAGGACTCTAGCCGCCACACATATAAAGGATTTATAGTGAAAAACGTTGTTTTTACGGGTTAATTTTTTATACGTGACTTTACCGAAAGAACCAAAGAGTAATTTCTGCAGTCACGAAAGCTCCTAATTAAGTTTGCACCCTTCCTTCTGCCACTTCGCCGACCCGCTGTGACCAGCGTGGTGAAGTATGGTCATGCAACTAGCAAGACCCACACGAGGTCGAGTAAGGATGCCTTTGTCATCCAGAGGTGGACTAACAAATCACTGCGCACAATATTGAATCACTACCATTGCAACTTTCGTTGTTTTATACACACGAGGTGAGACGATGTCAACAAAGAAAATGCACGCGCGTGCGATGTTGTGTATACTGTGAACCTTCACCGCAGAGCCGCAATAACTATTCCTGTGCGTACCTGTGTGTGTCTTCGTGTGTCTGTGTGTGTGCGTCTGTGTGTGTGTGCGTGCCTGTGTGTGGCTGTCTGTGTGTGTGCCTGTGTGTGTCTGTGTGTCTGTCTGTGTGTGTCTGTCTGTGTATCTGTCTGTGTGTGTGTCTATGTGTGTGTCTGTCTGTGTGTGTGCCTGTGTGTGTCTGTGTGTGTGTCTGATTTTCTGTTTGCACTTAGTCACATATTCACTTTAAGATGTTTTTTGTTCATGTTTTTGTTTGTTGCGGTTGCACCCGATTCAAGAGCCGAATGGCTCACAGGGCTATACCTAATAAATGAACTTGAACTTGAACTGTCTGTGTGTCTGCCTGTGTGTGTCTGTGGGTGTGTGCCTGTGTGTGTGCGTGCCTGTGTGTGTGTCTGTGTGTGTACATATAAACACGAAACACATTTCAAATACAACGTCAAACAAAATAGGAACGTTTGCAATGTGTGTGGTTACCGTGCGCACCGCGTACCGGTGAAAGTTTGTAAACTTTGTCACACACTGGGTTGGCACTCGTCCGAGCCGGCGATGGAAATTCCACGTTCCTATGAACGAGTCTGTGAACATTCACCAAACATCACCCTCCCCCCCATACACCATATCTCGTCAGGTCTCGGAAAACAACCGATCAGGAGGACTAAGCCAGGATAATGCTTCCATGTCTACTTGTTGCTACCAAAAGACACGAAATCCCACGTGATAATGGGCTGATGCTGCTGCTGTTGTTGTTGCGGTGCAGTAGTTTGTGACCGCGTTCTCTGGGACCATCATCAAGTTGAAGGCGTCCGGTCCCACCACGGGTCACGACAACCTCGGATTCAGACGGGCGGCATTGGCAGCTGTCTCCGGCATGGCAAGCGGGCACCCGTCGATTACATCTGCCGGGTGTCATCAGATCCTGTGCGGGGTTGCCCTCCTCCTTCCTTATCTTCTCGCATCGTCGCTATCCTGCAGAGTGGCTGATTCAGGTTTTGGCTGGATCGTGCTTTGTGCGATTGAACTTTTTTCGCACCAAAAAAAAGACAAAAAGCTCCCCCCGTATAGCCTGAGCAGACTGTCGGGGCAAGTGCTGTTAGCGAGCAGCACCCATGAAGTCCACCACACCCGGCCGCCTTTGTCTCCCCAGTGGCGACGTTTACTACACACCGCGCCAGGTACTCGTTTGAGGCCGAGTCGACCTAGGGGGAGGTCCCGGAACCGGTTCAGATACCATCGGTGTTGGTGGCCGTGAGAGGGAATCGAACTCGGGTCCGTCGGGTTTGGAGCGCAGCGGCACTCCCTACACACACGCACGTGCACACACACACACACCCCGCGAGTGCACACACACACACGTGCACACACACACACGTGCACACACACACACGTGCACACACGTGCAGCACCTATGAAGGCTAGAACGGCACACGAGTTGGTAGGTGGCCAGCACCACGCCCGGCCGCCTTTGTCTCCCCCGTGGCGATGTTTACTGCACACCGCTATACCAGGTACTCATTTAAGGCTGAGTCGACCTAAGGGAGGCCCAGGACCGGTTCAGATAATCGCCACCGGTGTTGGCCGTGAGCGGGAATCGAACCCGGGCCGCCAGGTTCGTAGCGCAGCGTGGCGCTAACCGTTGCACCACCGCTCCCCACACACACAGACAAAGATAACGATCCCCCGTATAGCCTTGACAGATTGTAGGGGCAAGCGCTGTTAGCGAGCACCTATGAAGGCCGGAACGGTACACGAGGGGGTGGGTGGCCAGAACCACGCCCGACCGGCTTTGTCTCCCTAGTGGCGATGTTTACACACCGCACCAGGTACTCATTTGAGGCTGAGTCGATCTAAGGGAGGCCCAGGACCGGTTCAGATAATCGCCACCGGTGTTGGTCGTGAGCGGGAATCGAACTCGGGTCGCCAGGTTCGTAGCGCAGCGTGGCGCTAACCGTTGCACCACCGCTCCCCACACACACAGACACACACAGACACATACACGCACATACACACACATACACGCACACAAGAACAATGACAATTCGTCACGAGCAGCAAAGCGCCAGCAACAGCAAGCCCAGCCCTGCAGCTCGTCGTTTCCTTCCTCGTGGGGTGGTGCTTGGTGGGTGACTGGCCATCAACCCCCTTCTCAAAGTCCCTCCGTGCGCCCACGCCGCTCCCAGTCAGTGTGGTTCTAACTCATCAGTGGCAGCAGCGGAGAGGTCCTCCAACAGCCCCGGACGGGAGCTGCACCTCCACAAATCGCTCGCCGATATCTCTTGCGGCACCGCAGGGTTGTCGGACAGGAAAAGTTGCCTCTAAGAGTTTTGTTTATTTCATTGTTTTTTTTTATTTCGCCCGCAAGGAGGAATGCTCGGCATACCTGTGCGGATCGTGGCCCGCCTCTAAACTCCCACTCATCGCGTGAGATTCATTTCGTGTTCATCTCCGTGCCTCTGCGGTTACGAAGATCTCTGACAAGGTAAAGTAATGTGTGTGCGCGTGTGTTTTTGTTTTACATTTTTACATTAATTCTTGAAGGCATTGATGCATTGTTAGCTCTGCCCGTGTTTCCGTCCGTCCGTCCGCCCGCCTGTGCGTCAATCTGTCTGCAGCGGTGTCATTCACTCACCAAATGTCTCGTGATTAGGAAACAGTGGCTTTTGCAACTATGGATGTACCGTATGTTGAACTTCGTTTGCACCGTACGTGGCTAGCGGCGCTAATCGGAGGTGCGGGGGAAGGACACAAACAACAACAAGCAGCTAGAGGAATTAGTTTGTCGAAGCTCGAAGATGATGATGATGATGATTTATAAGCGCACAGCTCCTGTGGCTTCCTAATGTCGGAAGGAAGAGAGCGTTCCAGACGGCCGCAAGAAGCAGCATCTGAAGACTTGCTGCTGCTGCTTTGGGAATTGATGCTTAAGCAGTCTTAACAATAATGGGTGACGTTTCGGGCACTGGCCCTTCGCGTGCACGTGCGACGAAGAAGGGCAACTGCAGCCCCGTATCATTGACGAATACGCTCAAGACGTCGTTGTTATTAGGATTATTATTTAATGTTACTAACAAAGACCAGTGCGTGAGTTGACTTTGATAGGCGGTTTAAAGATCATTGTGCAACTCAAGCCAAGCAGTGTTAGTTAGACTTCTCGGACTTGTTACAAGAAAACAATCACGGGGAAAATGAGAGCCAGTCAAATACTCTGAACGCGCGATGTTGATTCTAAACGTGGAGGGGGGAAAACCGGAGGACCCGGAGACAAAGCCGAACGACCACGGGGAGAGAGACACGCAAACTCCAAATATACAGCAGCAGCAGGCGTCAGGGTCGGGATCGAACCCACGACCTCATGTAGACCAGGCGAGGGAGTTAACATCTCACCACCACAGCGGTCTCCAACTCATATTATCCCCTCTGTTTCTCCACTGGTCTCTCTGCAGTCTGAGTGCTATGAAGAAGGGCCATTTCCCGAAACGTCGTATGTTATATCATCGTATTATTTTTAGGCCACGCACAGCGATGTGAATGACGAACGCGTTGGGTTTGTTCAACGCGTGATCATTCAATTGCGTTGTCTTTGCGTGCTAATTGTACCTGGAGTTGTATGTGTGTCTCTATATATTTGTGTGCACGTTGAACCTCTCCCGCACCGAACGTAGCGAGCCGTACTAACCGGAGTAGCAGCCGTCGTAGTTTTGTCTCGGACTACCACTGCGATGGTCAAGTTGTACTTTGTGGGTATCCACTCGAGAACTCAATATTGGAGCTGGAGGCGCTTGCACCTCCGATCAGCACGGTTGGGCCACTACGTACGGTGCGAAGGAAGTCCAACATACATACAGCAGTACCTTTACCTCTCTCGTGTCTCTCTCGGGGCGCGCCACGGTGGTGAGATGTTAACTACCTCGCCTGGTCTACTGGAGGTCGTGGGTTCGATCCCGACCCTGACGACGCCTGCTGCTGTATATTTGGAGTTTGCGCGTCTCTCTCTCTACGTGGTCGTCTGTATTTTTCTCCGGGTCCTTAGCTTTTATCCCTCCACATTTAGACTCAACATCACGACTTCAGAGAATTTGTCTATTGCTATAGATCCCCACGTGATAAGCCAGATGATTGGGCCATTGTTTGTGGTAACCAAGTCGCTTCTGAAAAAGAGCTAAGTGGTTCAGTGGGCTTTACCTGGTAAAATAAAAACAATCGTTTCAATCGTAAAATAGTTTATAGCTTAATAGTTTACACCGTGTGGGGCGAGCGGCTGATGATAATTCAATTTAAAAAAATATATATTTTCGAATGACCAATTTGTAAATAGGCACGTGCACAGTCAGTTGTGAATAGTTGGTTGTGATTCGGTGGTTGTGAATAGGTGGTTGTGAATGGTCGGCTGTGAATAGTTAGTTGTGCATAGTTGGTTCTGCACAGTTGATTGTGAATAGTCGGGTTGCCTGACTGTTTCTGTTGAGTGCCCCGTACGGGGGCTGATAGGGCCGTGTGAATGTTGCCACGCGTGGCCTCAAAGTCGATGTGCAAGGGTCCATCTCTGTGTGTGTAGCATATGTTATGAAGGGACACTAAATTAAAAAATAACACGTAAATATTAAAAGACAATTTTTTACTTGCACAGTAAAGTAATTGTATTTTTTCATTTGTGCTATACAGCCAGATAATACGACACATCGCTAACCTTAAACACCCAGTCGTTCATACAAGTTGAAGGCGGTATAGTACTATAGTAATAGAGCAAGTGCAGAATCACTGAACCGGAATTGATCGCTTGAAAAGCATTTAGCGCGGGGCCCTTGAAAGTGCGGGGTCCGTAGCCACATGTGTAGTAGCTACTACACATGTAGTAGCTACTACCACATATCTACATGTGTAGTAGCTACATATCTAGTAGTAGCTACCACACATGTGGCTACTTTTGCTACTGGGATAATCCGACATTGGCTGTGTGCACGCGCTCAGGGGCGGCCTGCAACAATCAGCCGCCTTTGTGTAAACAGAGAACCTTGGAGCGCTGGTGGTATGTCTCAGACGAGGTTGGCCACCACGGCTCAACTCTGCTTTGCGTCAGCCCGACATGAAGAGCCACTCTCTCGCGGGCTGCAATTGACGGCAATTACCGCCGGTAACCACCTCGCACGTGCCGTCACGCGGCTTTCTGTGACAAAGCGGATGCCAATTGACCCCCGGAACCTTTAGATTCACACGAACGGTAATTTTGGGTTTATCATCATCATCATCTTTTCTTCATCGGCATTATTATAGGGCAGCGTTCGGTAATGGTCCGCTTTAATCCCCAAAGCCTTTTTGTCGGTAAATGTTTTCTGTGGGTCATGGAATGCTCAAAAGCAACAAAAAGAACCCTTTTGACTGTCTGCTAACAGCGCGTTTAGTTTATCTTTCGACTTATGTATACATTTATCTTAAATGTTAGACTCGATCAATGAATTGGTCAAACACCGAAAAAATTACAGAACCCTTCTTGGGGTAAAAAAGCATCGTGATACTTTTGGCTTCGCTTGGTGGGAGAGTTTCTGTAATGTCATTCTCTCTCTGCGATACGATATCAATCTAAGCGATATTAATCTAAACTATTTTAATCTAAAACATATTAATCTCAACTATAATAATCTAAACTATTTTAATCTAAACTATAATAATCTAAGCGATATTAAGCTTAACGATTTTAAGCTTAGCGATATTAATCTAAACAATATCAATCCAAGAAATATTAATTTAAGCGATATTAATCGAAGTGATATTACGCTTAGCGATATGAATCTATCTAAACGATATCAATCTAAGCAATATTAATTTAAGCGATATTAATTTAAGCGATATTAATCTAGGCAATGCAAATCGAAGCGATATTAACTTGAGCGATATTGAAATGACCGGTAGATGCACCACCAGCTGTACCCCCCTACTGTGCCAGGCTAGGTGCTAGAGGTCTCGGGACAGACCCAGCAAGTGCCATGGGTTGGCTGACTGAGATGACTGGCAGATGCACCACCAGCTGTACCTACACATACATACACATACATTTATAATCACTTAAACGTCAAATTTTGTTTTAAAGCTTTCGTGACTGCAGGGATTCATATTCTTGGTTCTTTCGGTAAAGTCACGTAGAAGGGAAATAATAAAATAAAATAAATATAAAACACTTGTGATGGGTCGCTTCTGCAAAAAAGATAGAGCTGCACAGCCCATTGGGGGCCTTACGGCTGGCAAAAATAAACATCGTTAAATAGTGATAACAGTTAATGAACGTCTGAGTCTGATGCATGAAGGTTGAACCTCTTTTAGCACCGTGCATAACCAACCGCGCTCGTCGGAGTGGTGAAATCGGCTTTACTTGGTAAAATAAAAATGTAGTTCACTAAAAAAACACATTGCGATGCGCTAACCTCTCCTTTACTTTGCAACTACTTTGTTGTGTTTTTTGTTAACTGTTTGTTGGTGTTACTTTCTGACTCGTCTCTGGCCTGAACAGCTGTCATTAAAGAGCTTTATAGCTCATGGGATTCCTCCTGCCGTATAAATACACAGTCTGACGAATCGGTAACAGCTATTTATTTACGGATTTTAATCGTCGTTTGTTTTAATCTCACAACTATTTAGCCAGGATTTTTTTTTATTTCATGTCTGTTTTCTTGTTCTTGTTGTTGTTGTTGGTAGCTAAACAAGCGGCGACTATTACGATCTAAGCCATTCAATGCCGTTCACACAAAAAACCGGACGACGCCGATGACCACGTGATGTGGCATCGCCCGAGTGCGGCGATGCACACATTCTGTGACGTATGAAGCACGTGATCGTCATTATCGTGATACAATAATTGTTATTATGTCGTACGTAGCCCAGAGCTACTTGTCCACTTTTGAGCAAAGAAGTGTTGAGATGTGAGCGAGGCCTGGGCTGCAAAGAGCTGGTGACTGACGTCTAAATTACAGCAGCGAGCAAACGTCTCCACGTGACATCCACCAGCCCTCGGCTGTCACAGCACACACAGTAACTCTGTGCACAGTGTCGAGGTGTGATCCCCTAACTGCAGAGTTCAGCTTCACGAGTATGTCTCACATATTTTCCTTCCTGCGGGAGAAACACAATTACAGAATCCAGTCAAAGGCCCGCGACAATCATTTACCTTTGAGCTTAAATTTAGTGGCTTTCTTGAACGGGAACAATGCACAATGCTGCGTCAAATTCAATCAGTGCTGACGGAGGGTCATTGTGTGGGAATTATGGCTGTGGTTGTTATTGTTATTGATGATGGGCATGTCTGTGACACGGTGTGGGACGCTGGGGAGCGGTGGTGTAGCGGTTAGCGCGCTGCGCTATGAACCTGGCGACCCGAGTTCGATTCCCGCTCACGGCCAACACCAGTGACGATTATCTGAACCGGTCCTGGGCCTCCCCTAGGTCGACTCAGCCTTAAATGAGTACCTGGTGCGGTGTGTAAACATCGCCACTGGGGAGACAAAGGCGGTCGGGCGTGGTGCTGGCCACCCACCCCCTCGTTCGTGTACCGTTCCGGCCTTCATAGGTGCTCGCTAACAGCACGCCGTGGGTGGAGCGGTCTGGTAGCGGTCAGCGCTACTAACTAGGCCAGCCGAGTTCGATTCCCGCTCACGGCCACCAACACAAAGTGACGATTATATCATCTGACCCGGTCGTGGGCCTCCCCTAGGTCGACTCAGCCGCAAATGAGTACCTGGTGCTGTGTGTAGTAAACATCGTGGTCCGGGAGACAAAGGTTCCGTGCCGGCCTTCATGGGTGCTGCTACTCGCTACTAACAGCACTTGCCCCAAACCTTACCCACACACCTACCCATTCACCAGTCCACTTAACAACCACACTTATCCACGCACCCACGTATTAACCAAGCCAGCCACCTACATACTGACCAACGTATCCACCCACCTACATGTCAACTCGCCTATCTGCCCATCTCGACACCCACCCACCCACCTCCAACATTCAACACGCAACCATCAACACATGCCGACCGAGTGTCGGATTAAGCTAATGCGGGGCCTGTAGCACGATGTTATAAAGGGGCCCTAAATAAAATACAAAAAACACGTAAACATTCAAAACACGAATATTTAACTTGCATTGTAAAGTAATTGTATTTTTTCATTTGCTATACAGCCAGATAATACGACAAATCGCTAACCTTAAACACCCAGTCGTTCGTAAAAGTTGAAGGCGGTATAGTACTATAGTAATAGAGCAAGTGCAGAATCACTGAACCGGAATTGATGGCTTGAAAGCATTTAGCGCGGGGCCCTTGAAAGTGCGGGGCCCGTAGCTACTACAGTAGTACCACATATGTAGTAGCTACATATGTGGTACTACATATGTAGCTACTACACATGTAGCGATGTAGTAGCTATCAATTCTGGTTCAGTGATTCTGCACTTGCTCTATTACTATAGTACTATACTGCCTTCAACTTTTACGAACTACACGTGTAGTAGCTACCATGTAGTAGTTACTACACGTGTAGTAGCTACTACTACACGTGCATCCACTTTTGCTACCGGGATAATCTGGCACTGTGCCCACCTGCCCAGGTCACCTCCCACGACTCGCACAGACGCGGCTTCCTGCTCAGATTAGCACCGCGCCCGCGACCCACTCCACGGTGGCTTGCCCCGCCACCTTGGGGGCGATGCGCCAAGAAAGAGGAATGAACGGATGGGATGGGTGGATGGGGCAGGGTGGATGGGGCAGGGTGGGTGGATGGGATGGGTGGATGGGTGGATGGGGCAGGGTGGGTGGATGGGTGGATGGGGCAGGGTGGGTGGATGGGTGGATGGGGCAGGGTGGGTGGATGGGGCAGGGTGTGTGGATGGGGCAGGGTGGGTGGATGGGTGGATGGGGCAGGGTGAGTGGATGGGGCAAGGTGGGTGGATGGGTGGATGGGGCAGGGTGGGTGGATGGGTGGATGGGGCAGGGTGGGTGGATGGGGCAGGGTGGGTGGATGGGTGGATGGGGCAAGGTGGGTGGATGGGTGGATGGGGCAGGGTGGGTGGATGGGGCAGGGTGAGTGGATGGGGCAAGGTGGGTGGATGGGTGGATGGGGCAGGGTGGGTGGATGGGGCAAGGTGGGTGGATGGGTGGATGGGGCAGGGTGGGGGGCAGGGGCAGGGTGGGGGGATGGGTGGATGGGGCAGGGTGGGTGGATGGGGCAGGGTGGGTGGATGGGTGGATGGGGCAGGGTGGGTGGATGGGGCAGGGTGGGTGGATGGGGCAGGGTGGGTGGATGGGGCAAGGTGGGTGGGTGGGTGGATGGGGCAGGGTGGGTGGATGGGGCAGGGTGGGTGGATGGGTGGATGGGGCAGGGTGGGTGGATGGGGCAAGGTGGGTGGGTGGGTGGATGGGGCAGGGTGGGTGGATGGGGCAGGGTGGGTGGATGGGTGGATGGGGCAGGGTGGGTGGATGGGGCAAGGTGGGTGGGTGGGTGGATGGGGCAGGGTGGGTGGATGGGGCAGGGTGGGGCGGCTCTCGCTCCTTCTCACTGCGCGGAGACGGACGGCTGCAGAGCGCGCGGTGTTGTCACAACACACACGGGGTGGGGGGGAGGGAGGGAGGAGCGGCTGGAATTGTTGGGGCTTAGTCCAAGTTAATCTCCCCCCCCCCCTCTCGCTCTCCATCTCCTACTCCCTCCCCTCCCTCCCCCTCCCTCCCCTCCCTCCCATCCTCGCTCCCTCCCTCTCTCCTTTTTTGTACGATCAGAGGAAACAAGAAGATGCTCGGTGTAGTCGGCACTTTGCTTCGTTCATCATTTCGGTTTTTTTCCCATTGCTTTGCTTTATGTGCCCCCCCCGCCTCCTGTTTAAATGACAGATTTCTCTTTCTCGACTCCAGGGAGAGCGATGGCAGCAGCCCGAGGACTCCGCCTCGTGTCCCTCTGCCTCGCCACGCTACTCTGCTGCCACGCCAGCCCCACGGAACTGCGGCTCCAGGTTCGATTCTGAGCACGGGCGCCCCCCCCCCCCCCACTCTCCCCACACCGACTATCACGGTCCGCGACGTACGGCGTTGAACCAAGTTCCACCCACATGCATCGGAATCAGAAATATTATGACTATGAATCTTTCACGATGTCTAATTTGCCAGATAAGGGCCACTGAGACATTCGCTTATTTATCAGAAGCGACCTGGCCACAAATGAGAGTTTGAACGAAGTGGCCCATAATTTGAACATTTAAAGCGGCAAAATAATCAAAACAACCTCAATGCACGTTTTAAAATGTGGAGAGAAAAACCGGAGGACCCGGAGAAAAATTCTAAGCAACCACGGGGAGAGAGAGACACGCACACTCCAAATATACAGCAGCAGGCGTCAGGGTTGGGATCGGACCCACGACCTCCCCCATACCAGGCGAGGTAGTTAACATCTCACCACTGTGGTGCCCTGGATAGCCCATTGAGCTCAGAGTCGCTTTTTTGAAGGGTGATTCGGCTGCCAGGCAACATCAAAGCATTCCACAATTTACAGATAAAAAAAAACAAGTGAAGAATAATAATAGCAATTTGGTTGTAAAATCACTTTCACGCTCAGACTTTAGTGATTTTAACCGTAGTGTCGGTTTAAACGAGGAGAGAGATGGCAGTAGAATGGAGATGCCAAGAAACAAACCGGGTGGGTTCCAAAGACTTTTGGGGCAGCAGCAGCTACATGAAAAAAACTGATCATCCAAATTACGTGCGAAATCTGGGGAACTGTCAACAGGCAATCCAACGTGCATCGCAGATTTTATTTGGATTGCCCAACGGTAATCAATAGGCCAGAGGAGGTACGTTTAGACTCCACTCGCACAGCCCACCCCATCCAATGCCTGGATTAGAACCCAGCGGCTGGGTCAGTGGCGGTCTGGCGCCTCTCAACCCCTCACCTGCCCTCCCCCTCCCCCCGCCCTCGCAAGGTGCCGGAGGAGCAGCCGCCCGGCTCCGTGCTGGGCAGCCTGGCCCAGGCCCTGGGGCTGACGCCACGAGAGCTTCGCGACCGCGGGTTCCGGCTGCTGCCGCCGCCGCCATCGCCGCCGGGCCCCGGCGGCGCCGCCTCCTCCTCGCCGCGCCTCCTCGTGCGCCTGCGCGAGGCCACGGGCGAGCTCGTGTCGCTGGGCCGCCTCGACCGCGAGGCCCTCTGCCCCGCCGCGGCCGCCCAAGTCGCCCCACCGCCGCTGCCGCCGCCGCCGGCGTCTCTCTTCGCCGGCGCGGCGGCCGCCGTCGGAGGCCCCGACGCCTCCGCCGCCGGCCGGGAAGAGCCGGCGGCGTGCTCCGTGGTGCTAGACGCCGTGCTGGAGAGGCCGCGGCGCTCGGCGGTGCGCGTGGTGCTCGACATCCTGGACGTGAACGACAACGCGCCACGTTTCGATGCTGGCTCGCGGCGCGACGACGGCGACGACGGTGACGACGGCGACAATGGCGAAGAAGAAGGAGGCTGCGCCCGCGTCGCCGTGTCCGAGTCGGCGCGGCCCGGGACGCGCTTCGCGCTGCCCGCGGCCCACGACGCCGACGCGGGGCCCAACGCGCGTCTGCGCTACGCCCTCAACGCCAGCGCCAGCGACGCCTTCTACCTGAGGGTGTCTCGCGGCGACGACGACGACGGAGACGACGACGACGGCGGAGACGGAGATAGCGGGGGAGGAGGAGGAGGGTTCCCCGAGCTGGTACTGCGCAGGCCGCTGGACCGCGAGCGGCAGGCCGAGCACCGGCTGCGCCTCACGGCCACGGACGGCGGCTCCCCGGCGCGGGTGGGCGTGTGCGGCGTGGTGGTGCGCGTGCTGGACGCCAACGACAACGCGCCGGCCTTCGAGCGGCCGCACTACCGCGTCGAGGTGGGGCACCGCTCGCTGACCGTGACCCCATGACCCCTATCTCTGACCCCATGAGCCCTATCTCTGACCCCATGAGCCCTATCTCTGACCCCATGACCCCTATCTCTGACCCCATGACCCCTATCTCTGACCCCTGCGCGCGGGAAGCGGCGGCGCGGCAGAGACCCAAGTCCGATTCTCGATCGCCGGCCACCACCGGCACCGGTGACGATTCGCTGAACCGATCCGTGGGCCTCCGCTGGTGCGCTGTGTCATAAAACATCGCCACCAGGGAGGCCACCCAGTCGTGTTGCCGTGCCGGCCTTCATAAAGGGGCTGCCGCTCGCGGGCAGGAGGGGGTGGGGAAGGCAGAGGCAGCGTTGGGCGGCGGTGCCGTTGATGCTACGACACAATTAACCGCACGCCCTTCATTGTACGGTGGGCGGGGGGGGCGGGCAGCGTCACAGAAAGCGGCCGCGTGCCGGCAGGCGGCACGTCGGAGAGCCGGCGTCGCGACATCTCCATTCTCATTTTACCTTACTCTTGCGGCTCACCAACCCCCCTCCCTCCCTCCCCTCCCTCTCTTTCTTGTTTATCTGTTGTTTCATCTCACTGATCTATATCTCTCCTCTCCAGGTCTCTCCCCCATCTCTCTCCCTCTTATCTCCCGTACATCGCACTGATCTCTATCTAGGCCCCTGGAGGGCTCTCTCTCTCTCTCTCTCATCTCTCTCGTACGCTGTTTATCTATCACTTCATCCCACTCATCCGTACGCCGCTTGCGTCGCAGCCGAGCCTCATCTCTCGGTGTGGCCGTGGCCCGGCGGGTCACTCCCAGGGTCAGACGAAGGCCCGTGAGGCAGCGTAGCAAACTTGGCAGGAATCCGTCGCGGAGATGCGGCCGCTCTGCCGCTACGCAATGCGCGGGACCGACCTAAAACCCGAGATGGATTCCTGGTTCGGCACGGCATGGGGGGGAGGCCTTCAGCCAGCAACGGATTGACCAAACGACTGCAAACGGATTGGTAATTCTTTTGTTCGGTTGGGTCTGATCGCCGCGGAGCGAGCAAACAGTAGCGTGCGTGTGTGTGTCTCGTAACACCCCTTCTCCACCCGGCGCAAATCCACGTCAGCGAAGTTGTCGCGTAATGAAGAAAAATGCGGCCGAGCTATCTGCTGCTTCAGCAGGCAGCCGGCAGCAGGCAGCAAACAATAGCAGCAGGCAGCAGCAGCTGGCAGCAGGAAGCAGGAGGTAGCAGCAGGTAGCAGCAGCTCCTCTCGCTCGTGCCGCTGGAGCGTCGAACGATCAGGTCCGTGCGGACATCTCGCTGGAAGTCGCAGCTGACTGCTGCTGCCTGCTGCTGCCTGCTGCCTGCTGCAGCCTGCAGCCTGCAGCCTGCAGCCTGCTACCTGCAGCCTGCAGGCTGCCGTCCAGGGAGTTCCCAGAGCAACGAATTTGTCCTCCAGTCCGGGGACTGCGGAGCGCGCCAGCGTTCCACACTCAATTTCAGAGGGGGGGGGGGGGCACTTTCGCCGATAAGACATCAGCGGTGCGAGGGGCCGCCGCGCGTGTTGTGCATTGTCGGGGTGCCGCACGTCAGGGGCTGCACTAAAAAGGTCACCGGGGGCCGCCCAGTGGCCCCGCGGGCCTCGCAAAGCAGGAGCACTGCTGTGGGCGGCCATAGCGGGTGCAGCAAGGGTCGCCATGGGAGGGCCGTAGCGGCCACTTCCTCCCGTCGCTCAGCTGGCCATCGCGGACTTTGGCCTTCTTCCCACTCGCGTCTCGTTCCTCGAAACGTGCGCCGTGCGAATCCGCTCGCGGTGATGACACACATCCCGCACCATCGTGCGCCGATGATGAATCGCGTGGCCTTCGTCACGATCCTCATTCGGAGACGTGAATCACTCCGCCTACTTCCTAGGTCACGTTCGTTATCTGCAAACAAAACACCACAAATGTGTGCACGAGAGACGGCTTCCTGTCATGATTAATTACTCCGGCGCTGTGTCACGCCGGAGTAGCCAGCGTCGTTCGGCTTGTGATAACATCATCTGGAATTTATAGCTCGATATTTGTTTTCTCTAACGCGTCACTGGTTAAGGGGGCACATGACCGGGGCAGGTGGTGGTAGCAGCACTCTCAGGTAGCAGCAGCAGCAGCAGCGATGGTTGGTGCATCACGCACAGATGCCATGTCATCGATTAGCACGGTCGGCTACGCACGGTGCAAAAGAAGTTCGTGAAGTTGTGGCATGGCTCGGTTTTGCACGGTGGAAAAAACGACTCCCCGAGCCGTGCCGAGCCTCGCGTCCCGGTTGAGCCTCGCGGAAATCCGTGAGGCTCGAGACGATGCCGGCAATTGACGGTCGCCCTCCTGTACACCCCCCCTCCGTGTCGTCCCAGGTGCGGGAGGGCGCGCCGCTGGGCACCGAGGTGGCACGCGTGCGCGCCATCGACCCGGACGAGGGCACCAACGGGCGCGTGGCGTACGCGCTGAGCCGGCACGCGGGTGAGCGCGCGCGCCGCCTCTTCTCCATCGAGCCGCTCTCGGGCGTTGTGCGGCTCGCGGCGCCGCTGGACCGCGAGCGGCGCGCCGTCGAGGAGCTGTACGTGGAGGCGCGCGACATGGGCCCGGACGGCGTGGCGGCGCACTGCAAGGTGACGGTCGCCGTGCTGGACGACAACGACAACGCGCCGGAGATATTCGTCTCGGCGCCGACCGACGGCGGCGGAGCCGGAGCCGGAGCCGGCGCGCCGTCTTCCCCGGACGTGGCGGTCGTCACCGTCGGGGAGTCGCGCCCGCCCGGCTCGTTCGTGGCGTTCGTGCGCGTGGCGGACGGCGACGCGGGCGACAACGGGCGGGTGGAGTGCGTCCTGCGGGGCGCGGGGCCCTTCGCGCTGCGGCCGTCCTTCGAGAACGGCTTCGCGCTCGTCACGAGCGACGCCCTCGACCGCGAGCGCGCCGGCCGCTTCAACGTGACGGTGGTGGCGCGCGACGCCGGGCGCCCGCCGCTGGAGTCCTCCAAGGAGATCACGGTGATCGTCGCCGACGAGAATGACAACGCGCCGCGGTTCGGCGCGCCGTCGTACCGCGCGTCCCTGTCGGAGAACAACGCGGCCAACGCGCCGATCCTCGCCGTGTCGGCCCGCGACCCCGACGAGGGCGAGAACGGCCGCGTGAGCTACTCGATCGGCGCGGGCGAGGCCGGCGGGCTGCCCGCGGCGGCGCTGGTGTCGGTGGACGAGCGGAGCGGCGAGGTGCGGGCGCTGCGCCCCTTCGACCACGAGAGGCTGCAGTCGCTGAGCTTCGAGGTGGTGGCGCGGGACCACGGCTCGCCGGCGCTCAGCGCCACGGCCACCGTCGCCGTGGACGTGCTGGACCGCAACGACAACGCGCCAGCCGTCTCCCGGCCGCGTCTCCGGCGCGGCAACGCGACGGTGTACGCGCTGTGGAGCACGCCCGCCGAGGCGCAGCTCGCCAGGATCCAGGCCGTGGACGAGGACCCCGGCGACAACGGGAAGCTCGCCTTCCGGCTGCTGCGCGGCAACGACGGGGGCCTGTTCCGGCTCGACGGGGACACGGGCGAGCTGGCGACGACGCGCGACTTCGCGGAGGGCGACCGCGCCAGCCACGAGCTGCTGGTCGAGGTGAGGGACCACGGCAAGCCGTCGCTGTCGTCGCTCGCCACTATCCACGTCGTGCTCACCGACATCATCCCCGCGCACTACCACCGGGACGGCGGCGACGACGGCGACGACGACGACGACGGCGGCCTCTTCATGGGGCTGCCGCTCATCCTCATCGTGGCGCTCGCGGCCGTCTGCTCGGTGCTGCTCATCACCATGGTGGTGGTGGCCGTCGTGTGCAAGCGCGAGAACAAGGAGATGCGCACCTACAACTGCCGCGCCGCCGAGACCACGTACTGCCGGAAGCCCGAGAAGAACGGCGGCGGCGGAGAGGCGGAGCGCGGCCTCCCCTCGTCGTCCGAGCCGGGCGGCGTCGGCGCCCCGCCGCCCGACGTCATGCTGGGCCTCGGGGCGCCGATGCCGCCCGGCGTCATGCTGGGCCTCGGGGCCAGGGCCTCGCTCGAGCGGCTGTCCCGCCTGCTGGCCGAGACGTCGGGCGGGAGGGGGGGAGGCTCGCAGGTCGACATCGCGCGGGAGCACGCCTGGATGGCCGATGAGACGGAGTCGCTGCCGGCGTGCTACCCGGCGCTCGGAGGGGCGGCCCGCGGGTCGATGCGGACCTTCCGCTGCTGGGACGAGGCCACGAGCGCAGCGGCGGCGGCCGCTGGCGCCGCGGCGCGGTACGGCTCGCCGGTGAGAGATACGGTGAGAGATACGGGGTGAGAGAGACGTGGTGAGAGAAAGGGGGTGAGAGAGAGACGGTGAGAGACGGTGAGAGATACAGGGTGAGAGAGATGGTGACAGAGATACGGTGAGAGATAGGGGGTGAGAGACGGTGAGAGATACGGGGTGAGAGAGACGGTGAGAGATAGGGGGTGAGAGACGGTGAGAGAGAGACGGGGTGAGAGATACGGTGAGAGAGACGGTGAGAGACGGTGAGAGATAGGGGGTGAGAGACGGGGTGAGAGACGGGGTGAGAGAGACGGGGTGAGAGACGGTGAGAGATACGGGGGAGAGGTAGCACCGAGGTGATGACGACGATGATGATGATGATAGTGATAATGATGGTGATGTTGATGGTGATGATGGTGATGATGGTGATGATGGTGATGATGGTATCGTACGTTCAGTGTCAATGTTATCTCCGAGTAGCACGGTTGGCTCCGTCCGTTGCGTGGGGGTACAACTCGCTCACGCGTTCGTAGCGGTGATGTGTAGCGATAAACTGTGATGGTGGTGTCACACATTGAGTGACAATATCAACATCGTCCTCATCATCGTCATCGTTGGACTTTATCAGAATGAAAAGACAACACTGCCATGTATGCCTTAGTAAGGCGGCGTCGATCATTGACGTACGACGAGGCCGTCATTATCATAGATATTGGGGGGGGGACACACCGCAACACCAGGTACTCATTTGAAGCTGAGTTGTCCGAGGCGAGGAGGCCGTGAGTTGACCGCTACGCTGCGGTCACAGGGCCACGCGGCCTCCTGACCCTGCGCTGCGGAGGCGGCGGCATTGGCCCCACGATGGCCCCTTGACCTTTGCGCCGTGTCCCCGTTGTGTCGCCGCGTGGCCATGACGCCCGCCCGGCTGTCGCCCTGTGTCTGCGTGAGCAGCTGATACCCAGCAATGAACACCGGCTCAAGTTTCCCACCGACGCTTTCAGGTGATTGCGCCGGAGTTGTATGTGTGTCTCTATATATTTGTGTGCACGTTCAACCTCTCCCGCACCGAACGTAGCGAGCCGTGCTAACCGGAGTTCTGCATCACGGCATAACAACCACGGGGTAGCAGCCGTCGTAGTTTTGTCTCGGACTAGCACTGCGATGGTCAAGTTGTACTTTGCGGGTATCCACTCGAGAACTCAATACTCGGCGCTTGCCCCTGCACCTCCGATTAGCACGGTAGGGCCACTATGTACGGTGCGAAAGAAGTCCAACAAACATACAGCAGCACCTTTACCTCTCTCGTGTCTCTCTCTCTTTTGGGGCGCGCCATGGTGGTGAGATGTTAACTACCTCGCCTGGTATACAGGAGGTCGTGGGTTCAAACCCTGACGATGCCTGCTGTATATTTGGAGTTTGCGTGTCTCTCTCTCTGCTTGGTCGCGTGGATTTTTCTCGGGGTCCTCTGGTTTTTCCCTCCACATTTGGAATCAACGTCACCACGCGTTTAGAGTATTTGGCTGCGATCAGTTTCCACGTGATTGGGAGTCGTCATCGTTGTTGTGCCGTCATTTGTGACCGCCAGGTCGCTTCTGAGCAAGAGCTACAGAGCAACTCTGTGAGCCTCGCCTCAATACTTTAGTTCGTAGTCGAGTTTAGATTGCCTGAAACGCATCGACAGCAGCTGCTGCTGAAAACAGTGGTGATGATGATGATGATCTTGACGATTGATGGTAATGGTGATAAAGCTGTTGATGTCGATGATGATGAAGGCAATGGTGATGTTGGTGATGGTTGAATAATTACGGTCGTTCTTTCGGTAAAGTCACGTATACCCACGTGACTTTACCGAAAGAACCAAAGAGTATGGATTCCTGCAGTCACGAAAGCTTCAAATCAAGATTTTAAAAAACATCGTGATTAATTTTAAACGGCGGCATCGTTCGTGAAAATTGCATCTCACAATCGCCGCTGTGGAACCACAGACCAAGCTGGAAGGCTACGAGGCAATGAGCGTGCGCTATCAACTGCAATGTGGGACCTTTCCTGACAGTGCTTTATTGCCAGAAAGGGTAAACTCGATTGCTATACCTTGCTCTGCAGTTCTCTACACAGTAAGATGTTTCCAGCCTGTCAGCGAGCATCGTTTAAACACGCGGGAGCAAACCGGAGAAACCCCACGCATGCGAGGAGGCAACGCTCGATCCCATACAGATGGGACAAATGATATGAGACAACGACACTGGCAAAAGAGATCCCATGCTGGAGCTGCTCACCACGAGCTCTCAATGCCCTGATAGTGGCATTGCCCTTGTCCTGTTCACCTTTTGGCGTCGTTCTCTGGTCCGACGAGGCCCTAAAGAAGGCTGCCGTCCCTGGTCGTTGTTGTTGCTACGGTTCGTTTAAGGCAGCTCGTCATCGTCGTAGTCATCATCGTCGTCGTCGTCATCATCGCATCCCCCCGTGTCTCGCGAGCCAGGCGTGTGTGCACCGAAGCGGACGGCATCAGTGGCAAGGACAGCGGCCGCGGGAGCGACCCACGGGACAGCGACCCCGGCGACGCGGACAGCGACGCGGAGGGAGCCGCGGCCGGGATCCGCGCGGCGGCGGAGATGCCGCCACCGCCGCCGCCGCCGCCGGTCACCGCCGCCGACGGCGCCGCCGGAGGGCGCCGCGTGGCACTCGGCGCCGGGCCGCTCTGCTCGTCACGGCCACTGCGCCCCGGTACGTGCGGTGACAGAAGGCCGAGTGGTGGACCCGGATAATAGGATAACGCTTGAGAGCGGTGGTGGTGGCGGTGGTGGTGGCGGTGGTGGTAGCGGTGGCGGTAGCGGTGGTGGTAGCGGTGGCGGTGGTGGTAGCGGTGGTGGCGGCGGTGGTGGTGGTGGTGGTAGCGGTGGTGGTAGCGGTGGTGGCAGCGGTGGTGGCAGCGGTGGCGGCGGTGGTAGCGGTGGTGGTGGTAGTGGTGGTGGTGGTAGCGGTGGTGGCAGCGGTGGTGGCTGCGGTGGTAGCGGTGGTGGTGGTAGTGGTGGTGGCGGTGGTGGCGGCGGTGGTAGCGGTGGTGGTGGTAGTGGTGGTGGCGGCGGTGGTGGTAGCGGTGGTAGTGGTGGTAGCGGTGGTGGTAGCGGTGGTGGTGGTGGTAGCGGTGGTGGTGGCGGTGGTAGCGGTGGTGGTAGCGGTGGTGGCAGCGGTAACGAAAGTGGTGCTAGATGGCGATGCTTATGGAGCTTAGTTAGTTCAACACATCAGCTTTCGCGACCAATTGTAAATGTTGTCGGTTTACTCTCCAACACACCGGCGTGCTGAACCAGTAACGAATTGGCACGTTCTGTTGACGTGACAAACCTTCCTAATTGGCTATGTCGGGTGGTGGCGGGTTTCACGACACTTTTATTCCTACCCAATCTAACCTCCCAAAAAACTGCGCAACCGATCTGGCCCGAGGCCGTGCCGAGCCAGCGCAGCTTGGCAGGCGCCAGCTCCTCCTTCCACTGAGATGGGCCGGCGGGAAACGCGCGATGGCCTCGTACCGGCGCGGTTCGCGTGTGGCAGCGAGGAAAGTCTGGGATGGAGGCCGCCGGCCTGGGGCGTCTAGGGTCAGCAGCGTCGGCGAGCCGCCAGTGGGGCCCGAGGTGGACTCCACGTGACGACGGTGGCGGCCGATCGAGGGGGTTTTCGCCAATCCGTCCATGCGTCTGTTCGTCCGTGCGTTTGTCCACGCGTCTGTGTGTCCGTGCGATGGACTGAACGGACGTCCGTCTGAACGTCTTCTCCCGCGTCTCTCCCCCACCAGACCTGGCGCGGCGCAAGGCGACCACGCCGACGTGGGAGCTCATGCCGCACCGTGACGCCCGCTGCCTGTGCCCCACGCCGACGCCGCCCAGCGCCTCGGCGGCCGCCACTCCCGGCGGATCTCCCGCCCAGCGCCGTCGCCACCACCACAACCACCACCACCACGGCCACGCGGCGGAAGCGGACGGCGGCCGGCGGCGCCGCATGGCAATCTCCCACCAAGACGTGTCCGCGTCGAACCCTCGCCACAACAACAACTACCACAACAACAACTACTACCAGCAGCAGCAACCGCAAGACGACGAGCTGCCGATCCCGCGCCACCACGCGACGGCGCGCTACCACCACGTGAAGCGCGCCAACTCGGGGCCCCAGCGCCGCTCGCTCGTCAACCCCGCCGTGCCGGAGATGAGCCGCTTCATCGGCGAGTGCATGCAGGCCTACAGCTCGGGCACGCTCGCCGATGGCACGGGCAAGGCCCTCGCGTCCCGGCACACTTCGTCGTCCTCGTCGTCGTCGTCCTCTTCGTCCGACGAGGAGGGCGGCGGCGGCGGCGAAGGCGACGGAAGGGGCGGCCGGAGCGTGAGGTTCCACCGCTGCGGGGTGGCCGCCGGTGCCGACGGAGCGCGGGGGGCGGCCGGGGGCGGCCCGGCGTGCGGGGCGAGGGACGCGCTGGCGCTGTGAGCCGGCTTGCTCGCTCGCTGCTGTCGCGTGGCAATGCCGGTTTGTTGATGTTTGTCGTCGTCGTCGCTTCAATGTGGGACGCTCGGCAATGGCCGCCACGGCTCACGCGTTCACATTTTGTCCAACGCTCAATCCGACGGTGCGGCAACGTTGCCGCGACGATTTCTCCAGCGCGAGCACACTGACTTCGGGTTATTTGTTGCTGTTGTTGTTGTTTGTGTGGTTTAGCCGGCCTGCGCTCTGCCGATGAGCCTTAAGAGCGGTCGAAAACCTCTCCACGTGATCGTCCACTGAAGACGAACGCTGCCTCTGTTGAGTGTTGGTCTGGAAGGCCAACATGGCCAATGATGGACTGAGCAAAAAGAACGACACTTCCCACGCAGGACAGACAGATTTGACGTGCCGGTGATTATTTATTAAATTGTATAATGCGCGGAGTGCTCACTGTTTGTGTGTGTTGTCCTATGGATAGACTGGCACTTGTCATGGGAACGTGGAAAGCTCAACCGCTGGCTCAGGGCCAGTCGAGCGAGCGCCTCCTTCAATACCGGGACGTGGAAAACCAATCCCCCCCCCCCCTTATCGTCAGCGCTCACCCAACTCGCGTAAAGCGAAACGCGTCTTGGTTAAAAATCGCTCCGGTGATGTCCACATGACTCACGATATCCTTGCACGCAATTTGGACGTGGGGAGCGGTGGCGCTGCGATTAGCGCACATCCCCCCCCCCACGCCCGCCGGGCATGGCTGACATTCCCCCTCGAGACCATCGCCAGACCGACCAGCGTGGTGAAATATGGTCAAACAAACATACCCCGTGACCGGCACGGGGGAAGGAGGCCCTCATCCAGCAGTGGATCGCCGTGGGTCTGCAATTAAACGTTGTGGTTGCGAACGTAATTGTTGTTAAGTTGTTGTGCGGCGCAACTTTATATAGATCCAGGTCAGCCTCGCCGAGGCTCAAGACTCGTTGTGCAGGAGGGTCCTGCTACACGGGGCAACTTGCTGAAGTTTGGCTTCCGCGTGGTTGGTGATTGGGAAGTTCCAGAGAAAGCTAACGCCACGGCGATGGGGATTGCGAGGTTCATCCGTGAGGGGATGGTTCACAAAACCCACTTGCTGTACTGCCATCATGTGACCTGCTCCTTCAGAAGCAGGGCGACACTGGGGTTGGCTCTCCGCTCAAACACGGCTGAAGTCGCACGCCGACCGCGCCTGATGATTGGTGAAACACGGCACCTGTGACGTGGAGAGCGCCGGTTCACGTTAAGGAAGACCATTATCTGAATCTGTTCTGGGCCTCCCCTAGGTCGACTCAGCCTCAAATGAGTACCTCGTGCTACGTGTAAAACATCACCACTAGGGAGACAAAGGCGGCCGGGCGTGGTGTTGGCCACACCACCTCCTCGCATGCCGTGCCGGCCTTCATAGGCGCTCGCGAACAGCACTTGCCCCAACAGCCTGCGCAAGGAAGTGTTTACCAATCATCGGGCAAGTGCAGTGTGTGTACAACGGCTACGTTTGCCTGAGAACAAAGCTTAGCACACTTGTAAAGGTGGACGGCGGTGGGTTGGTGAGGATCTGAAGTGTGGACGGGACGACCTCCTTGACGCAGAGGCGTTCCTTCCACGCTCATTCGCTCATCGTCATAATCGTCATCATCGTCGCCGCCGTAGTCGTCGTCGGCATCATTGTCGTCATCGCCGCCGTTGTCATCGTCATAATCATCGTTATCGCCGTTGTAATCGTCATCATCGTTGTCATCGTCATCATCATCGTTGTCACACGAAGTGTCAACAAGTGAACATGAGGCCTACTGAAGGCTCTTGTAGAAACGTGGTCCATTACCCCGCTCCCCGTTAGCACGACCTGCATTCGCATGGCTGTATAAAGTCAACTTCCCAACCCTAATTTATTACTTATATATTTGTTATATATATCTTCGTATTCTTCGACATCACTTAATCACCTATTTACATTCTCACTGTATTTATACCCCTACTCTCGCACCGATGAAAATATCGCCGTGATTTTTGTTTCGTTTTTTTTGTAACCGCAGCGCGAACGGAGGGCGATTGAATAACCGCGGTGCCTTGAAAGTGAAACAATATAATGGGCAACGTTTCAGGACACGGGCCTACTTCATGGCCAAATGCCGTGCCATTAAAGGCGACTTCACGGGGCTCGACAGCAGCCAGACGAGGGCGGCGGTTTCTTCTTACGAACAAACGCTTCTCGTGCGCCGTGAAGAAGGGCCGTTGACCGAAACGTTGCCCGTTGACATTTTCTGTTTTGTGTCGAGTTTCGTGTTGTGTTTGGGCACCACCACGTGACTGGAACGCTTTTGCAGGCTGGGAATGCCACTCAATAAAGTGAGCCTCTTGGTCACGCCGATTGACTCCGTCAGTGCGATTGATTCTGCCCCCTGCGACTGTGTTTGCTGATCTCCCGCGCCGACAAACAGTGCCGGATTATCCCAGCGGCAAAAGTGACTCCAAATGTAGCTAAGGGCCCCGTGCTAAATGCTTTAAAGCCATCAATTCCGGTTCAGTGATTCTGCACTTGTTCTATTACTATAGTACTATACCGCCTTCGACTTTTATGAACGACCGGGTGTAATATTTGGCTGTATTGCAAATGATAAAATACAATTAATTTACTATGCAAGCTAAAAATGCGTGTGTTTTAATGTGTTTTTAAAATGTAGGGCCCCTTTATGCTACAGGCCCCACCCTGGCTTCATCCGGCACCGACTTCACGGCCCGCTAACTTCAAGGCTTTAACGCATTCATCATGTTTGTTATTATCGAACATTTTTTTGCAATGGTCTGTCATTGGGTGATGGTGATTTTGGCGACGTGGTTATGAGGAAATAAACTTATCAATGAATGCACGTCAATATTGCGTTTACCAACTGTCCGTTTTAGCGAGGTGTATCCTAACTGCTAGCGGAGGTAATTGCAAGCGAATTAATTACAATTCAACGGACACTGCATGCGTCATGTAATTTTCTCATCTCGCTGGTTACTCTTGGAAAGCGCGTTGTTTACGACCAATGATTTAGAACGGTCTTTTATATCGTTATAGGCTACGATCTGCATTTAAATGTTCTCGTAGTTACTGCATTAACCACACATCGTCGCACTTGTGGCATAAAAAAAGCAAGCAAACAAACACGCTCTGATCATCCTAACATCCGCAATTGTGTTTGAAACGGAATGGCCTACACCTGAGACGACATTTTGTCCGTTAGCTGCAAGGACGTTGCGATTTAAAGAGGCGTCAAAGTCGCGCGAGAAACAGTTTGTACCTCATGGAAACATTTGTGCATCCAGCCAAAGAAAAAACCAAATTAAAAACAAAAAAATGTACAAATGATATCCCGCCAGTTATTTTGTACCCAAGTTGAACTTTTTTGCGGAGCAGAGACCCCCAGGGCTCCCCCCCCCAGCTCGAGAACCACTGGTGTAGTGTAGCATGTAGTGTAGCATGTATAGCGTAGCGTGTAGTGTATAGTGTAGCGTAGTGTGTAGTGTATAGTGTAGCATGTAGTGTAGACGATTTCAATGCGCGCCGTTTTAACAAAGCTCTCTCACACACGCGCCTGCGTGCTTATTGTTAAGTTTTATTGTATCGTGTCCCGCTGGGAGAACTGACAGGACGTGCAGGTTTGTTGAAAACCCATGGCTTTGAACCATCCACAGCGAGAGCGTGGCAATGCGCAAAAAACCATCGGGTCAACTCAACCCGACTTTGGCGACTTCAACCTGGCATTGGACCCGACACGTAACAATAACAATATAGCTATGGGTATTGCATTATAATATATTTTTTGTTTATCAATAATAAAAACAATATTCTAGTGCAATGCGAAGGGTTAGGCTCGGTAGTAAAATGACGACAATGGCCGTGCCCATTACCGCTTAAATTTACAAGCGATTATAAAACTGTTGCAATATTATTATTAATAAAAAAGCACGTACACACGCGAATGCACTTCAGTGTCAAAACAAGCGAGCGGCCGCCTTTAAAACAGTAAAGCGCAAAATCTTCCCTGGTCCAAATACAAAACGGACCCTCAACGACAGACCGGGGCAGTGGATTGTCCATCACCGCTCTGTCCCATCGAGTCCACGACGCTCCCAGCTGACCCCCCCCTTTCTCTGTGCCACAAGTTGGAACGATGCGGGTGATGCGGGGGGGGGGGGGCATGCCACGTGGCATTGAGGGACGAGTGAGAGCAGCGATAGAGGGGGTTGCTTAGGGGATCACGAAAAGGGATCACGTGGGGAGGGATGACGGGGCGATGGAGAAGATGTTGATGTTGAGGCTTTAAGAGAAGAACGGAAGGCGGGGGGGGCTGCCTAATGTAGAATGGGAAGTTTACTCTTACGTACAATTTCATCATTGTTGTAAAGCGCCTTGGAATAAGGTGCCACATGAACCTACATAAGGTAATAAAAACAAATACAAACGACAAAGTTTGAGAACAGTTTGAATAAAAACGCAATTCCAGAAAAACAACCGAGACACGTTCCCCGCTTTGCGAAGTCCTCCCAGGAGCGCGTGGTGGCAGTCCCGGTTTAAATTCACCCTTGCGATCGACCAATGACAAGGTGGTCAACCCTTCGCCGAGAAGACTCGACGATCCGATCCCCGCTAATCGCGAGCGAGGCGGCCGCTGCCCATTCCGCGGAACACCGGGAAACTCAAATCGCGGAGAGGCTCAGAGATTCATCTTCTTGGTTCTTTCGGTAAAGTCACGTGACTTTACCGAAAGAACCAAGAAGATGAATCCCTGCAGTCACGAAAGCTTTAAATCGAAATTTAGGTTCAGAGATCTGGCGAGCGCACACCAGTCCCGGCTCGCGGCGATCATCAGTGCCGGATGAGCCCGGTCCACGTGGAAAACCGGGTTCCAGAGCCCGCGACGAGTGAGGAGCGACCGACAGATTGAACCGGGACGGACGCGTACCACGTGCGGAACGGACGCGGGTTGTTAATCCGCGAGCCTGATAATAATCCGCCCCAAGGTTCAATCCGTGTTATCGGCACAGACACAATTGCAGGTATCCCTCGGTTCACGAAAGGGACGCGCGTCCGTCGAAAACCACGAGCAGCAGGAAATGTCGCAGAATGGCTTTTCCCGTGACTTCAATACAAGAACATTCGGAATGTGTTTCGGACAGTCATTCCAACTCGGACACCACCTCTATCTATCACGTTTAGCAATCCAAAAATAGTAATAAAGAACGTTGACATTAAATCAATCGAATCACAATTTATAACAATTATAACAATTCGCCTTTTCAGGGAACTCGCCAAAAGATCTGCTGCACGTTGGAGTGACGCTGAGGCGACGCGGAGACGTCACGTTTGCACTGCAGGGACTCCGTGACGCTGTATCCGATGGATGACGACGCAGCCTCCGCGCGTTTGATGATCTCACGGTGCCCGGCGTGCCGTTGTTGAGATTTGGCCCACGTGAGAATTCAATTTCGTTCATCAAAAGGCGTCCATAATGTCAACTGCTTTCATGCGGAAATTCGTAAACCTAACGTTCGTTAATCGAGGGATACCTTTAAAATAAAATTGCGGCCGAAACCACAGACCACAATTTTAAAAGTCACATTTTTTTCTTCCCACGGATGTCGCTTCGGTTGAGCTCATGCCACGTCAGCTCCAGGCTAAGTGGAGCCGGGTTGCGTGGGCTTCCGAGCTGTTTTCATCGATTCTTTTCAAAAAGGTGGTCTCTCAATCTGGTCTTGGCAGCTTTAATAAAAATTACAATATAAAAATCGGACGAGCTAAAACATTTTTTTGTAAACAACTCCCGCTCATCGACGGCGATTACTCGGAGATGCCCCTTTAAAAATGGTGGCCGCCAAATAACCGCCACCCTCCAAAGGCGGGAACCCCCCCCCCCCCCCCTACGAGGTCAACGATGACATCACCCAGGACCGACCTGTCACCTCCCGTGCAGCGGCACCGGTGGTAACGGGGGAGGGGGGGGGGGTTGATTCCACGAATTGCCGCGACTCTATAACCCTTTCTCTGAAAACACCAGCGGTCGACGCACACGAATCTGACTCCCCGATTCTTACGCAACGCCATCTTAGTAACAGTAGTAATAATAACGACCGAAGCATCATTACACCTCCAATACACACACGGCATCGTTACACGCGCGGAGAGAATTGTGGCCGTGACCCCCACGAAGGCTGTAAAAGTGGCAGCCGCAGTAACGTTTGTGGCATCTGCGCGTCGTGCAGACGCGTTAACCGAATATTGCAAAGCAATTGGTCCCGTGAATACGAGTGGACTAATCATCCTATATATTTATACTGTATATAATCGACTCGGCAGGTAATGATACATTCCTTCGTTAATAAATTAGCCTCCCGAGCCGCTAATTAACTCGCCTAACCGAGCTCACCACTCACCCACGTTAATTTGACCTACAATCACCGTGTCCTATGATACAGCGCCGCGCACAGCCTCGCTAGCGACACTCGGCCCGACGGCCTCCGGAGGCGACGAGGCGGCAAGGCGTCTCTTCGTCTTCGTACAACTGCGCCCACGGCAGCGAGGAGCGGCAGGCGGCCGCATCTCGTCGCAAGTCCATCCCAGGCCGCGTCTTTGTCCCATCACCTCCCGCGCCACTTCCCGCGACATCCTCGAACCGATCATTCAACCGCCCGGGGCGATCCCGCGATGCGTTCCGCTCGCGGTGTTCGTCCCAGAATGCACCGCGGCTCACAGGTTGCGCAGCCGTGCCAGCAGGGAGTCGGCGTTCCCGACCGGATCGCCCTTGCGATTGGACCCCGGATCGGCCTTGCGATTGTGACGAGCGGACGGATCCGCATTCGATGCCGGAGTCCGCGCGGCGCGATTCCGATCCTGGGTTTTCTGACCACCCTTCGTCGCCGTCGTTGTCGCTGAGGACACAAAAAAATGTTGGTGAAACGGGAGGGACGGCCACGTGACGACGCCATCACGAGTTCGACGATTTCACAGAACAGGCTGCGGCAGTTAGCCCACCTAAAGCCTCAATATTGTAAAAAAATAATATTCTTTATTAAAATCAAGTTAAAATAACAGTTTAAACGGTGTAATTTTTTTGTACCAGGTGACCGCAATTTAAGTCGAGTAATTTTGGCTTCTTGAATCGACGTGGATCAAAGAAGATTTTTGTTCCTGGGTACTAAGTGTTATCACACGCTTTTCATTAACTCACTCTGTCTGTTGTTGTCGTATCCTCAAATCTTGTAACTCAATTTGAACCCACTTTCCAATGTCGTATCGACTGCAAACTTGGTATAGTTATGTCACACTGATGACAATACTATATTCTATCATTAAAAATAAAATATATATATTTTTTAACAATCTTTTTTATATGTTATGTTTCGGCTTGGGTCTAATTGTCCACGCTCAACTGAAGTTGGCTGTAATTGGCCACGGTCCCTTACGTTGTGGCAAGCTTCAGGGCCACTTCCTGGAGTCGTGGAGTTCTGCCATTACTAGTACATTTCATTAAAGCGTGTTTATAAAAAAGTTTTTTTAAATATTACTTATTCTGTAATTGCTTATGCCTCAAAAGTACAGAAGATGGCTGCTATTATTATTACTCCCCACAAACTTTGCTTCTGAGACAAGAGCGATACTGAGAGCGCTAACGGGCAGATACCATTGGCTGCCGCTTTCTCCGTTGCCTGCTTCTTTGCACCGATCGGAGCGCAGTTCTCCTCTCCTGCAACGAGTCACGGAACAATAATTAATCACTCGTGAGCGAGCGAGAGAGAGAGGTGAGAGAGAGGTGAGAGAGAGGTGAGAGTACGGCGGCCGCGGAGATGGAGCGACCAAATCGGCTCGGTGGGCCCTAACCTGGTAAAATAAAAAAATTGTGTAATTTTTATTATTTTTGTTTAAATAAAAAATAAAAACTCCCGTCGAACATTTCCATCATGAAGGTCGTTAACAAAAGTAACACCGGCGGGCATCGTCGCCTTCATCGGCGATCGCCAAGCGTCCGCGCCCCCCGTGCCCCCCCCCCGTACTCCCCGTGCCCCCCCTCATGCTCTCCCCGTTCGCTCCGTGCCCCCCATGCCCCCTCCGTATCCGTATTCCCCGTGCCCAATGTGCCCCCCCGTGCGCTCCGTGCGTTTTGTGCCCCCCGTGCCCCTCCGTGCACCACCATGCCCCCCATGTCTCCCGTGCCCCCCCATGTCTCCCATGCCCCCCCATTCCCCCCCATGCCCCCCGTGCCCCCCCCCGTGCCACCGGTGCTCCAGCGTACCTGTCTGGGGGGGGCTCCGCTTGCGCCGCTCACGGAAGGCAGCGCCGGACTGCAGCGCCTCCAGCAACGTGTCCATAACTCCCGTCTCACCACCCTCTGAAACGCCGGGAGACACGGGGGGGGGGGGGGGAGACACGGGGGGGGGGGGGCACACGGGGGGAGGGAGCACGGGGGGTGGACACGGGAGGGACAGAGGGTAGACATGAGGGGGGGGGCATGGGGGGAAGCGGGGGACACAGAGAGACACGGGGAGACACGGGGGACCCACGGAGACACTGAAGACAGGGAAAGTGGGACATGGGTATGTGAGGACACGGAGACATGCAGATAAAGAGAAACGTGAGCACACGGTGACAAGGATGTTCCAAGATGACAACCCCAACAACTCAGCGATGCCGGCTCAGTGTCTGCAAGGTGGCCATCGTGAAACCCGTGGGTGAAGGCGAGACTCCAAGTCACAGTGGTGATCGGTGACGCACAACACGGCCATCGCAAACCCCCTGCGGTGCCCAGCGTGCCACATCCAGAAGCAGGATGTCACCGGCGCCGTGACCGTGACCCAGCCACTATGAACTCCACGAGACCAAGATCCTCAGGATAGTCTTCGACAGACCGTTGGGGCAAGTGCTGCTATTTAATGAACCTCTGGTCGCATCTGCAATGTCCGCACGCAGACAGGCCCGTCGGGCCCAGCTGGTGGCGCTTGCCCGACGGCCCAGTCCGGGACCCTGGGCTGCTCCCACCGAGCGCCGCGACCCGCCCACGGCCCACGCTGGCGCCGCGTACCGGGCCGCTCGATGTCCGCCAGGTGCTTGCGCCGCTGCCGGCGCTCCGAGCGCTCCTTCTCCGCCGCCTCCTTGGCGATGCGCGCCCGCCCGATCTTCTCCTCCGTCTCGCGACGCTTGGCGTTGTCACGGAGAGCGTCCTGCCCCCCGCGCGGTGAGTGAGGCGCGAGGGACGGGGGGGGAGGGGAGGCGGGGGGGGGGGCAGCAGGGGGGGCGATGGAGTTGAGGAGACGACGCAGCGACCGCGGAGGCGAAAATTGTGGTGCCGTTGGTGGTGGTGTTGATGGTGGTTATGGTGTCATGGTGGTGATAGTGTTGTTGTTGGTGGTGGTGTTGATGGTGGTTATAGTGTCATGGTGGTGAAGGTGATAGTGTTGCTGTCGTTGGTGGTGTTGATGGTGGTTATGGTGTGGTAGTGAAGGTGATAGTATTGTTGATGGTGGTGATGGTGTGGTGGTGGTGATGGTGTGGTGGTGATGTTTATTGTGGTGGAGAGCGGCAGAGCAGTAGGTTAGCCCCCTGCGCTACAAACTCGGTGACCCGAGTTCGATTCCCACCAACGCTGTCAATGGTGATATTGACGGTGGCTATGGTGGCAACAATTTCAGCGACCCCATTTCCCACGCAACCCCCACGACCCTCGTGACCCCACGACCCCGTGACCCTCGCTTCCCCCACAAAACCCGTGACCCTCACGACCCCGTACCTGGAAGGCGGAGCGAAACTCCTCCAGGTCGGCGAAGAACTCCTCGGGGGGCACCTTGGCGATGTCGAAGGCGTAGAAGCGGCCCAGTTCGCGGTAGCGGCGGTCCATCCCGTCGCGCTGCTGCACCAGCTTGCCGTGCGTCTCGAGCGCCGCGCGCAGGAAGCCGTGAGCCCCGCCGACAACGCCGCCACGGAGTCAAGGGGGGAACTCGCCGGGCCTTCTCTCCCGTGGTGTTAGCGCTCGGTGTCGGTGCTGACGCGTTGTGTGGCGTTGTTGTCTTGTGGTGCTATTATGTGGTGTTGTTGTGGTGCGGTGTTGTTGTGGTGCGGTGTTGTGGTGGTGTTGTGTTGTGGTGTGTTGTTGTGGTGGTGTTGTGTTGTGGTGGTGTTGTGTTGTGGTGGTGTTGTACGCTGTTGCGTTGTGTGGTGGTTGTTGTTTTGTGGTGTTATTGGTGTTGTTGTAGTGCGGTGTTGTTGTGGTGTGTTGTTGTGGTGCGGTGTTGTTGTGATGGTGTTGTGTTGTGGTGGTGTTGTTGTGCTGTTGTACGCTGTTGCGTTGTGCTGCTTGTTGTTGTTGTTTTGGCGTCACAACAAAGACAACGACATCGTCGGCGCAAACACCGCCCCAAATTCTCAGCAAAAACATTCCCCCCATTGTTGTTGCTAATGACCTGTACAGTCATTTCCTGCCTTGTTATTGACAACAACAGCAGCAGCGGCGGTAGTAGTGGTAGCGGCGGTAGCAACACTCGGTGGTGCACTTCCCTTCGTGTCATCTGCACGCGAGTCGACGGGATTCGACGCGGGCACTTTGCGCGCGATCCACTGCCGGTCGGGGGACTCCTCCCCCCCGGCCGTACTTCACCACGCTGGTCACCGTGGGGGGGCTGGCGAACGCCGAGGAACGTACGACGCAGGAGCATAGAAGTACGACAGCGCGACGATGGTTTTGCCGCACCGCCCTCTGTTAGTGGCCCATTCAAGCCCTGGCCGGGCTCAACTCCGCTTAACCTCCCACATCAGAGGGGATCGGATGCGTTCCGGCTGACTTGACGACCGCGGGCCCACAAATTGGTACTTGGTATTTTATCCAACCCGGAGTGAGGATGGTAATGACGACAGCGAGAGCCGAACCTGTCACCCCGTAACGGCGAGCGGAACGACAAGTAGTTAAAGCTCTTACATTACACGCCGTGATTTCACTCGTGTGTTAACTCGATCCCGGCCACGATAATTAAATAAAACATTTACATTTAAAGTTATTACCCGAGCGCTGCTGAACGTCCATTAAGGAAACTGCGTAGACTTACAGGCCGCTGGGGCAGGTGCTGTGGGCAGAGACAAAGGTGCCCCGCGTAGCCTCAACGGAGCGTCGGGGCAAGTGCCGTGAGCGAGCAGCACCGAAGGAGGCCGGCGACGGCGCGTGGCGGGGTGGCGTGTGGCCAGCACCGCATACGCCCCCCCCCCGGCCACCTTTGTCTCCCCAGTGCCGACGAAGGAGCACGAGCCGGCACGACACGAGCCGGCGCAGGGGAAGGGGCCGGCGACGGTTTTGGAGGTCGCTCCTGGCCAGCGACGCTCCGCTGGTCGAGAATTCCGAGCCACAAATAAACAAACAAACTCCTCGTCGTCGTCGTCGCCGTCGTCGCGAGAGAGACGTGATACGAGGACGAAGCGGGAGGCGCCCTGGGGGCTTCCATCAACCCGCCTCCTGAAGCTTCCGGGAGGCCACAAAAGCCGTGAACGGCATCATCCACGTGGACGACAACGACGACGACGTTGATGCACACGTGGAAATTAAAAATCTCTGCGGTCAGTGCGCAGCGACCGTCGTCCCCACCCAGAACAGACGACTCGCGGGCCGATTGAGGGCTACGTACGTACGCACGTAGACCTTCTTTCGCGCCGTGCGTAGCCGGCCGTGCCAATCGCAGGTGCGGGGGAAGGAGGAAGAAACGAAGCAGGAGGAGGAGGCGCCATCACGGCGGCGATGAGCCGCCACTCCGCGGCCATCTGGCTCATCGACCAAACTAAGAGCTCAACTGTTTCTATTTGACCAGGTAAGGTAGGCCCCCACTGAGCTGTATCACTGGCTATCACAAACTATAGCTCGTCCAAGTGGCTTGTTATCGTGTGCAAATTTATCGCGTGCATCGATTCTAAATATGGAGGGAAAACACTGCAGGACCCGGAGAAGAATCCACACGACCACGGGGAGACAGAGAGAGAGGGCCGGGCTCGAACCCACGACCTCCCGCAGACCAGGCGAGGGAGTTAACATCTTGCCACCACGGCACCCAACAATCAGGGATGAGAGTTTGGGAGGCAGGAGGATAAGTTTGACCGGGCCACACCGTTGCTTCTAGTTCTAGCGCAACTCCGCCATCTGCAAGTCGGCGAGCTCCGATTCTTATTCCGCGTTAAAATTGAACAACGCCAAGGTGCGTGCTGGCGGAGGTGGCTAAAAAGTCCCATTCGGGCTCCGAATAAGTCGGCAAATTCCCTGTCCCCCCCGCCCCCCCACCCCCAGGGCCTACCTACAAGTAGGGATGGGGGGGGGGCAACATCTGGCCGTGGTTGTGCGGTTGAGGCTTGCGAGCCGAGGGGAGCTCCGACCGAGCGTCTGCGCCCCCCACCCCCCACGCCCTTCCTCTCTGCGGACTCTCGCTCGGCCCGCGATGGACGGCGCAGGAAGGCGAGCGCCCGGATGGACCGCGGCAAAACACAATAGCACGGCCGCCCCCACCCCCCAACCACCTACAACCACCCACCCACTCGGATCGCCAGCACCCCCACGGGAGTGGAACAGAAACCCCCACCCCACCACCCAACCCCCTCCCCCCCCCAGACTCATTGTCAATCCACTGCTGGATGGATGGGGGGCCCTCCCCCCGCTCATGCGTGGGTCGTTGTTTGACCAAGGTCGGCATGCTAGGTCAAACCCCACGGCGACTCGTTTCTTTATAGAAGTGTTTTTTGTGTTTAGTGTTGTTGTCCTTCCAACGCCGCACCTCCGGTTAGCACGGTTGGCTACATACAGTGCGAAAGAAGTTCAATGTACACACACACATACTGCACAGACTCAACACTGCCCATAGACTCAGCACTACCCATAGACTCAACACTACCCAGACTCAACACTGCCCATAGACTCAACACTACCCATAGACTCAACACTGCCCATAGACTCACACGACCCATAGAACTCAACACTGCACCTCCGATTAGCACGGTTGGCTATGTACGGTGTGAAAAAAGTTCAACGCACATGCACCCGGGTCTGCCCCGTGACCTCCTGCCAGCAGCGAGCCTTCCACACTTCACGTGACCTCAACGTGCACCTAGCATGGCACAGACGTCTCGGTGACGTCACAGTCGCTTAGTAGCGAACGGGCGGCCGTTGTCGTCGACTAGATTTGATGATGCGAGAGTTCGTCGGGGCAGGGAGCGTAGAAGTACAGTACAACAATGGATTGTTGCTGCACTGCCTCCCACGTAGCACCACGTGACGAGCCGCTTGGGGCGTGGTGCTCGCCCATCCGAGCGCCGTCCCGGCTTCCTGGGTCACACAGGAGGGGCCCCTGTTGGTACCGTAAACCGTCGGCCATCGTCTAACCGCTGCTGGATGAAGGCCGCTCCGCTCGCGCGCACGAGCCGACCTCGTCGCCGCTCCATCTCCGCAGGGGGGTGGAGACCCCCTCGTGTAAGTGTGCACCACTCCCTGGATCAGACGGCAAAACAATTCACCCCCCCCCACCCCCGCTACCCCCTCCGCCCCCCCCCCCCCACCGTGCCCACCTCCAACGGCACCCCCCCCCCCCTCCCCAGCAACCGCACGACCCGTCGCGATTCTGTGGGGGCGGAATCGCGATGCCATTCACGGAACCGATCCCATCGGCGCCGTCTCGTGTGGCCAACGGGTCTCCTTCGCCCTGTCGGCCTCAAAGTAAAACAATCGGCATCTCGTTCGATTGCACGAAACGTTTACCGATCCTCCGGGCAGGGGCCAGATGATTGGTCCATCGTCGTTACTTCGTCAGCGTGCCCAGCGCCGGGCTCTGCGCGATGACGACGACGACGACTCTAGGTCAGGCGATGCGGTCATCAAACGATCGCCCGACGCGCGATGACCGACACCACCGACCAACCACCCCCCCCACCGACCGCCCCCCCAAAACGATGACGCCGCGAACCCGCGACCCCCGCGGTAGCATCGCCGCTCGTAGAGGCGCGCTGGAGATGTTTCCACTCGGAGCCACCGAGGCAGGAAGCCGGAGCGAGGAAGGAAGGAAGCAGCTTTCAAGGGAGGGCCTTAGGAAGGAGCCATTCCTTCTTCGTTCGACTTTCCTTAACGTTTAAAAAATATATATTCACGACTTTGTTTCTGTGCGGAAGTCGAGGCTTCCGCTTTCGCGATGAGTTCTCACAGAGCCTCGGAGAGCGAGAGAGACGAGGGGGGGGGGGAGGAACGGAACGCGCTTCCAGAGGACGTCCACCACGGAGGCGGAGCGAGTTAATCCACGCGTGGTGCAGGAACACGGTGGATCATCGCGTCGCGACGAGAGATGGCGACGGCTTGGGGAGGAATCCACGCGGCGGTGGACGGTGCACGGTTGATGATGATGATTGTGATTGATGATGATGGTGATTGATGATGATGGTGATTGATGATGATTGTGATTGATGATGATTGTGATTGATGATGATTGTGATTGATGATGGTGATGATGGTGATTGTGATTGATGATGATGATTGTGATTGATGATGATGATGGTGATTGATGATGATGGTGATTGATGATGATTGTGATTGATGATGATGACCGAGTTTGACATTTTGACCGCGAGGTCACCCACACTCGTCGTGTATCGTCCAAACTCGCGGCACCGGTTCCGTTAATCTGGCCAGAGCGCTGGCCGCCATCGCCACAGGCTCGTGCGGCAATCCGCCACCGCCACCGCCACCGGCGCGTCGACACCGCGACGCCCTTCGCTGCCCGCCTCCCGTCTCCCGCGGCGTCGCCCTCCCGGGGCCGCTTTGATGTCCCCCTCCCAATGTCGCCCTCGCTCATTTTTCACCGCCGGTACTTTTGCATTTTTTTTTACTATTCTTATTTTGAAAACGGGTCGTGGCGTGGGAACAATCGGGCGGGCGGCCGGCACCGT